CGGAGGTAAAAGCGTGTGTTGAACCTCCCCACCCCATGTGAGATGTTCAAAAACTGTTTAAAACTCTCTCCTCTCTATGTGGTTAAAAAGCCAGAGTTTAATATATGAAAGGAAACCCAAACTTGTGAGTTGCTGAGGCAAAATGACAAAAACATTTAGAAATTAAACCATTTGAAAGGTAAAAATGAACAAATATTGAACAAAAAATTCAAATAAAAAACAAATAAAAGGAAAAAATGAACAAATTAAAATATTTTAAAAAGCTGAGTGCTGTTTTGCCCTCTCCTCCTGGGCAGTGATGAGCTCCAGCTTTCCTTCGTTTCGCCTCACAGTCAACACCAAATTCTTCACACACAGCTTCAGGACGCTGCTGAAAAGCTTTTTAACACAACAAACGAGTAATGAGGAGAATAAAAAGCAGACTAATCAAAGCTGTCGCTGTATCACCAACACGTTCTTTATTTTTATAACTTCAGGAGCAAAGAATGAAAGGATGAATGGAAACTGCAGCGTCATCACAGAGCTCAGCCTGGAGCCGCTCGTCCACAAACCCAGCAGTGAAATCAGAACTCGGGCGAGAACAGTTCATGTTTTAATGAAACCTGTGAGAACCGCAAGGAACGAGCAGAACTGAAGCCTCCGGAGGGCGGCGGCCTAGAAAAGCATCGACTGCAGGGACTTGCGGACTGTGGCCATCTCCTGCTGTTGCTGTGGAAACACACCGACATCACAGAGTCAGCACCCGTGTTTATCAGTGTTTTTAACGTTTTCAGGGAACAGCAAAGACAGGAGCTAAAAGTCTCTCTGCTGCTCTCTTTACAGACAAACGAGACGAGCTCATCACTTCATGTGAGGAGAGTCTGTGAGAAATGAAACATAAATAAATGACAGCAATAAAGCTCATGATAGAAACTCCATCGCCCATCAGATCAAAGTCTGGGTTCATATCAAACTGGCCCTTTGAACGTCTGCCGTTTCTGTCCTGAACATTCAGACAGTCGGCAGAAACCTGTGTGACCTCACTCTTCTTCTTCCTCACTCACAGATTCATACTGCGAGCTTTTATTTAGAAAAAAACTACTAATGAATAAACTTCCCTTTCCTGTTCTTATGTGATGTTTTGCTGCTGGCTGAACGCACCGTGTCCATGAGGATCTTCTTCTGCAGGGAGGCCATCTCCTTTTTCAGCTCTTGTTGCGCCCCCTGCAGGAAAGACTCGTGGCTCTTCTCCATGTCCTCCATGTTCTACAGAACAAACAAAAAACAGAAAAGCAGTTCAGGCAGATTTCCACAACCACAGCTTTAATACAAACTGAAACACATCCTCAGGTGATCAGTGACGTCTGCAGGGGTCACCCTTTTAATTCTGCTTATCGCGGCCCCTGTAGCTGTGCAGTGTGGACTTGTTTTTGACATATTGCACTTCAGAGAGAAACAGGCGTGGGTATTCCCGAGACCTCTGAGTAAAAACACAGAGTTGGTGTGCAGGCCGGGACAGAGCTGCATTGAGCTGCTTCTGACATGCTTCACCTTGACAAACTGCTCGTACAGCTCTCTGACGGTCTTCAGCTTCTGGTTCTGCACGACTCTGGCCTGCTGCAGGATCTTCTGCTGCTGCCGGAAGAGATTCTGCAGACAGAAAGGAAGAGTCTACATCGGCGATGGCCCTTCATCGCCATCACAGGTGAAGCACCTGAAGCCGTCGGTGTGCAGTACGTGAGGCTAAAACAGTTAAAGTGAACGGAGGGGACTGACGTTGAGCTTCTCCTCCTGCTCCTCGGCTCGCTGGGCTTCGGTCTCCCACTGCTGCAGCGCTGACGACACCTGCTGGGAATACTGCTGCGTCATCTTCTGCCTGCAAACACAGCAGAAATGATTTCCAATCATGTAGTTATCGAATAACTGACCTTTGTGACATCAGTTTGAAGACGAATTTCTGAAATTTTCAAACAGTGCTGTGTTTACACAGGCTCGGGATCAGCAGCTGAGCTGCAGTGTTCTGACTGAGCTGATGTTTATCCTGGCCGAGGCCAGAACGCTCTGCAGGACACCGTCTGTGACAGGTCACACCCGCCCGCTGCCTTTACAGAGCTGCCAACAGGCGCCTTTATTTAAAAGTGAAACGACCACCCACAGAGAAAGTGAGGCTAAAGCGTTCTTGTTTATGCTCTGTAGACGGCACTTCTTCACGGGACGAGCGCGCCGCCTCGCTTTCATAACACGAACGTTCTCTGAGAAACAAAAAAAGTTAAACAGAAAGTTATGCACAGAGAGCGAAGCAATGTCCCAGAACAAAAACCAGCTCCTGCATCTGCTGATATTAAAAGGCTGACCAGCCAACCTTTCACCGTACAGGTGCTTATTTGAAGCCTGTATAATTCTGTGAGCTCACCGTCAGCCATAAACTGGGGAAGTCAAGTCTTTTAATTGATCTATTCATTAATTAACTGCATAACTGTTACAATTTAACATGTTTTTTAATTATTCGTTTTCTTTTTCAAACTTAACTGTTTGAAAAAAAACCCTGTGTCACCTTCACTTATTTCTTGTTTTCAGTCTTTTACAGTGTTTTAAAATGGAACAGGTTTAAATATTATTTCTGGCTCTCACAGTCTTTACAAAACATAAGGAAATTAAAGACATTTTAAAATCCTAATTTTCTTTTCACCCTGGTCGCGTCAATGCTGCCGTGAAGTCGCTGAGAATCCAGAAATGACTATTTTTTAGGTAAATGTCTCCCTACATGCTCAGTTATGCATCTTTTGGTGACACTAAATGACAAAAACTCAGATTTGAAGGATATTTAAAGAGATTTAATTTCCCTGTCTTTCACTTTAAAGCGCTGAGTGATTCACAGGAAGTCGTGACATGATTCTGGAGCTCGTTTTAAAGGATGTGGTGACTGTTCTAAGACTGAATTTCAACCATTTCTCTGAGTGTTTGAAGTGGAGGGAGCAGGAATAACCTCTGGCTATGGTAGTTGTTCCACAGCTGCTCCAGCTTGTGTTGGCTTCCCTTCATGTAGTTCTTTGTCAGACACTCCAGACGTTTCTTCTTGGCCTGCATCACCTTGCTGATGTCAGCTGGGAGGACAAACAGATATGTGATACTGTGCTAATAAAACACGAGGAAACACCGCTGCTTTTCTGTAAACCATTTCATACTTTCTTCGGTCAAAATGCTGAAATATGTTGTGTTGTGTTACATTGACACATGAGCAGTCTAACAGGGACCGAAGATGACATTACGCCTAATGATTTTTCCAATAACAAATTAAATACAAACCGCTTCTTACCTCCAAACTTCTCCAACATGGACTGCACCTCATTGCTGGACATAAAACGAGGAAACATGCCAAGATTGATGGCGTTAAACACACATTAAATTCAATGAAATGAAGGTTTCATTATCAACTTTATCAAATTTGAACATTTTCATCTTAATAGTATAACAATAAGCTTCATATCTTCAGGTTTTGGACTGTTAGGCTCATCAAACATGACATTTAAAACATGATCTTGTTATATGGGGAAACTATAGGAGCTATTTTAAAAGACAAAACTATTAATGAAGAAATAATAAATACCCCATAGCACAGGGAACCGCCTCCTCCTCAAAGTCAGCCGGTCTCTTCTTTACCAGCTTGTCCACTATTGGAGTTTCATCTTAAATCATGAGAAAGTGGTTATATTTTACTTTGAACACCTTAAAATCAGCTCCTATAGCTATCTGGGTGACCCAGCTCACCTTCTCTGACTTCATCCTCAGAGCCACTCAGCTCCTTCTTCTCCGCCTCAGGAGTAAAATCAAAAGCCTTTTTATCTGCTCTCTCCTCCAGGAGTTTCTTTTTCATCTGTTTCCTGGCTGCTGTCATCCTCCTAGCTTTTACTGCTGCCAAATGTTACAAAACGAAAAAGAAAGCTGGCAAACTACCCAGTGCTAATGTTAGCTTAAATAATAAAATTAGCTTTTTAATAAGGTACTAAAGAATTAAAAAATGTTGCTAATAACACCTGTTTAGTTTCAAGCGAACTAGCGGACAAGGCTCAATTTTAACTAAATCCGAAAAGCAGTTCTAGTTTTAATTCTCCTTTATTTAGATAAAAACAAACCTGAATGAAAATAGTCTGCTAGCTTGCTGAATCCGCTAGATTCCCGCCACAACCTTAGCCCGAAGTATGCCGAGCTCCGCCGAATCTCCCCGAATTCCGCCAAGGCCAAGTATGGAAGGACATTAGTGTCAATATTAAAAAAAAAACGTAAATATGAATATTAACAAATATTTAATATTAGATCACAAATACAATTTGATAAATATGGTAAAAAAATCAAAGAAATATTCAATAAAAAATACAAAGTAAATAAGAAATCAATTATAATTAGGATATCAGGCAGACCACCCTGTTACCAAATGATTTCTAATAACAATAAATGTTTACTGAACTTACAAGGTTTCGATCTATTGCTTTAGTAACAAATTGAATTTTAACGTGAAAAGAATGGAGGGAGTTGCTCTAGTTTATATAAGTTCAGTTTTACCTGAAACTGGATGAGTATTCAGCATGAGTTTTTCATTTATTAAAAGTATTTTTTAAATTCCTGCAGTAGTTGTAGCAGGTTTGCACCAACCAGCAGAACATAGCTATTAAAATATCTCACAAAAAGAGACAAACCATATTTTTTGATGGGTTGTTTTTTAACAGAAAAAACACCTTTTTTAAAATTATTTTTGAATCTGAAATTATAGGTTGGCCAAACTATATTTACAAATCTGAGGCCATTACACCTCCCATACATCGCAGAGGTCAATAATCAGCCTTTTCAAGAATGTTCACCTCACAAATTATGATTTTTTTACAACGAAATAATAAAGTGGAATTATAGAATATGCCATGAACTAAACCGTTTCTTACCAATTTCCTGGAATTATTGAAAATGAGCAGCAACAGAACGAGCTGCACGAGCAATGATAATAATGTCATGAAATAATGCACAGCACATTTGAAAATATCAGCTTTAATAGTAAATTCAGCTTGTTTACATGATTTATTAAAAAGACGTCCACCTCTGGCGGCTGATCTTTGTGCACATTCATCATACATCATACAAAAAATCAGCCTGATCGAATACTATTAAACAAAGATGGATTCGGGTTCTCTGCATGATAAGAAAAACATTCAAATCTTGATGCTACAGCTCTAATGTAACACAGCAATCCAGGGTGATGTCATCATGGTGATGTCATCATGGTGATGTCATCATGGTGCAGTCGCTGTGTCTCAAAGGAGAAATCAGTCGCTGCAGTTCTGAATGCAAAGGTGAGCAGCGAGGTTCTCCAGCCGTCAGATACTGTTTGTGTGCATATTAGAAAATAATGAGGAACACCTTTTGTCATTAATGCTGCAGTGATGTGAGAGTTTATTAATCCTGAGCTTCTATGCTGAGTAACACTGAGGAGATGATTAATGGCAGGAAACCTTCCTAACACGTGTAACTACTCATCTGGTGTCACCTGACGGGTCGACTCAGGTGTTTGCGCGCCTCTGTAAGCTGTTCGTCCACCCGAGTTCTCCTTCTCCAGCTCGGGATCCCGACGTCTTCCCAGGTCACATGAGCTATGTGACGAGCCAACAGACTGTACATAAAAGACAGCAGATCCTGTGACGTCAACGCGGTCCCTCACACCTGCATTCTTTCTAATGACCAGCAGGGGGCAGTCGGCTTCAGGAAACACAAACATCAGTCACTGATTTCAGGTTTAATTTAACACAACGTTCAGAGTCAGGGGGCACGGGGAGGGGGGAGGGATTCAGGGGGGCGCATCTCTGCTTTAAAAACTCCAACATGGAGGCGGGAAACGTTACAGTAACTGTGTCCGTCTTTTATATACAGTTTATGGCTGAGTCCTGTGATGAGGGTCTGAGCTCGATCGTGATGCTTGGATCTGGGCTTTTCTCCAGCTTCTAGCAGCTGACGGCGAGGCGAGGCTGGATGTGTGGGCCAATCAGACGCCTCCTTGATGGTGACGTGATGGAAAACAGTCGAACACTTCTGTGCGGTATCCCACAACACATTTTCAGTTCTCGGGACCTTTGACTGACCAGGAATGCACACGCCGACATTTCTGTCCCAGAGGTCAAAGGTTAGTCTGCTGCGTGTGTTGACTACTGTAACATCTCTATGTTAACCGGGTGCTGGCAGGGGTCAGATGAAGCTCCTTCCTCCTCCTGAGAGCCTTCTCCTGCACCACCAACAGCTAACGCTATAAAAAGCAGGCTTTCTCCTCACACGCTGACAGGCTGCAGGATCAGGTTCCTGTCTTCTGATTGGCCAGCCAGCAGGGCACTTCTCCACACCTGGAAAAGCCGCATGCAAATTTCTGTGAATACGTGATGGATGTGCTCCACGATGCAGCCACAGAGCATCAAGCTGTGTTGATTTTATCTGATTTAAAAGGATCATTTAAAAACCTGAAGTCTTGGCTCTGTGAGGGGAAAAGTTTCTGAGAATACACCTGCACAGGTGCGTACCTCTCTCTCAGCGTCGGCTGGCTGCTCAGGAAGCTGAGCTGCTGCTCCAGACGACAAACCCTGAAGGCCAGATAGCAGGACGACAGGACCAGCAGGAAGACTCTAAGAGAGACAGACAGGTAAAAAACACCTGACACACCTGTGAAGAAGCGCAGTAAAGCCGGAGGTTCGTCCTCGCTCTGCATCCAATCGGCAGACGAAAGAACCGGCTGTGTATGCTGGTTTTGGATCTGACTCACAGTAGGATGAAGAGTCTGAGCAGCTGGTACTCTGTGTGGCCCAGTTCAGGTACCGGCTCTGTCAGCAGGATCTTCTCCGTCTCCAGGCTGCAGTCTACACGCACGAGACAGAGAACACGGGTAAACGCATCATTACCTTTGAATGTGGGCGGGCGGATGCACGGGGCTACCTGTGAGCGTGTGAGCACTGAAGGTGGTGGTGGTGGCGAGGCTGGGGGTGGAGTTTCCCAGCAAATCGGGGAGAGAGGAGGAGACGGCGGGAAGCGACGGTTTCCGTCTCCATTTCAGCACCTCTGGAAACTCGTCCTGACAGAGAGACGCAGGTTCAGAGACACACCTTTGTAAAAAGCAGAGAAGCTGCCGACGAGGCTGTTACCATGGACAGCGAGCTGGGCTCCTCCAGGTACTGCTTCAGACTCAGACTCTTCCCGTTCACCTGAGCACAGACAGAGGACGCCAGGTGAGCCAGAATCAAACATTCGTTACCAGGAAGCTGAATGTGGACCGACCTGCAGGTGGGTGCAGATCCTCCTGAGGACGTCGTAGACGCTGTCTCGGGACAGCAGGGACACAAACACGTACTGAGGACGGAGACAAAGACAGAAGGCGTTCAGAGTCAGTTCGCCCAATCGCAGCGAGGTCCAGACGGGACCGTAGCTTCGGCGCCGCCCTCTGAATCCTCCATTTAAACCAACTCCGGCAACAGGAGCCACTCACAGATTTAAAGCATCCACCCATCCCTCTGTCATCCACCCATCATTCATCCGTCCATCCTCTTCTGATCAGAGAAGCCCTCCTCCTCTTGTATCTGCGATCCCATTTTTAGGTAACTACTCGCAGCTCGTAACGGGTTTTCATTTTCAGCTGATCGGAACAACACGATCATGTTTAAAGTTTAAATCTCACAGAAACAGGCGAACTCTTAACCTCTTAAGCCCCAACGCTCCCGATACGGCGGCAAAAGGCAGGAGATCAGTTAGGCTCGGGGCTTAAGCGGTCAAAAGCCTTTAAATAGTTCATACTCCTGTGAGGCGAGACAGCGACACATTCCCGTCCATCAGCAGTGAGCGCGGACCCTCCAACAAACGCCTGCTTGGCGTGCGATCGGTGGCAGAGGAGAGCGCGCTCTACAGGCGCTTCAACGAATCTCAGAGTCAGATCAGAAATGCCTGAATAATTCTGACTGACTGCGCAGAGCGGATGATGTCATCACTCTGCATCTGGTGCAGGCAAAGAGAAAGCTCATTAATCACATGATGCTTGGACAGGTCAGCGGGGATACCTTCTGTCCTGTATCCATGGTGATGGCGAGGCCGTTCGGCACCAGACCCGCAGTCTTGTGCTTCTTCACCAGCCGGACCGACACCACCGGGATGCACACCTGCCTCGGGAAACACAAACGCACAAAGTCAGAGCTTCTCAGGTGAGAGGCGCCTGAAGCTGAACCTGAGAAGGTCAGACGTCCAACCCTGGGCACCGGATCCACCTGCTCCATGACCCCGAACGGGATTTCTTTAAATGAATTCACTGAATTGATTCAAAGTGGCCATGTGACAGGTGATGTCATCGCTCACCTTGATGTCTTTGCCGAACAGGTTGGCGTAGAAACACAGCCAGTTCCTGGAGATGTAGAGTCGCCCCTGCAGCAGGATGTCTCTGAGCAGAGCGCAGGAATACGCTGCAGCGAGAGCGCATCGTGTTAGCGTAAACCGACTGAGATCGTTCGACAGACAGATGAGCAGATGTCAGGACACAGTTTAGATCAGACATCGGTTGGGAAGCAGAAACTGTTCTCGCGGCATTCTTTACTGAGGGATTTCTGGCTAGCTCGCTGGGTGGAGGTCACCCCGGGGCGTCTACTTTCATTTCTTCTGTTTCAGGCGTTTTTGGGTGAATTTGTTGCATTTGTTATAGACACATGCCATCGACACGGTCACAGACTTGGACTGGATAGCAGCGCCCTGAGAGATTTGCGAGCGGTGCCGTTGACAGGAACCGAATAATGATTTCAAAGTGTCGTGCTGACGGTTTCACATGTGAGCTAAAGCAGGCGGTGAGTGCTGCACTCGGTACCTTTCATCAGGACTTCTTCTTTAGGAACCGCCTGGAACAGTTTGTGGTACTGAGAGTTGTATTTGCTGACAGTCTGTGGACGCACAAAAACACACGATTACACGTTTGCATGGAGAGCGTTTACAACACCAGGTTCAAAAGGTTTCCCATCACGGCTGAAGGACGTGCAGCTCATTTCCTGTTTGTCTACAGCGGAGGAGACGCAGAGTTTGTGTTTTTATAGTTAACGATAAAAACACATTAACACGGTGCTTTTATAGTTCACTTATTTTATAGTTGGAAACATTTGCTTTATAGTGAAAAAACAAATCAGCCACAGATTCATATTTATAGTTTCATTTAATAAAACATCTTTATGGTTATATACTGGCACCTGTTATTTACATATGAAAACAAACAGAAAACGTGGTTTCATTTGTGACATTAGTGGCTTATAACCAGCAGCCTGTTTAATAAAGGTTTATTTTTATTAGAGTGAATATTTATGAATAAATGTTCTTTATATTCAAACAAACATCATGCTGTCTGTTATTGACAGTATATTTGTTGTTGGATAGTTTATCTGTAATAAAAATCGGTTCATGTTATTTGTTTAATGGTACATTTATGTTCGTTTTATAGTGAAAACCGAGACGTTCCTGTCACTTCCTGTTATTAATAAGCCAAGCACTGAAATAAAAGGACATTTTTTATGGTTCATAGTGAAATAACAGGAAGTTATTTCACTGTATAATTTTAGTGGGAAAAACCCAGAAAGTTGTTTTATTTCATGGTGTATTATTTATGGAAATAATCCCAGAAGCTCAACCCCATCCCGTCTCTGGTGCGTGTTTTACTTTCAACAGGCTGGCGCTGATTCCTGAGGCGTGATCGGGAAACAGCTTTGAGTTTGTATCACCTGAAACAAAAGATCTGAGCGCTTCCTCCAGCTCAGCTGACTACAAACCGAGCGGCGTGTTTCTGGAGCATTGTTTGGGTTCCTCGCATGTAGGTCAGACGTTACATCATGTACACACCGCCCTGCCCCCGTACACCTGTACGGCTTTATTCTGCGAGACTTCCTGCCTTCCTCTTCCTGTCTGAGACAACAAAGACTGAAACAACAGTCAGCGGCAGCTCAACACCTAGGTCTCCATCGTCTTCTCTGATCCTGCCTCGTTGGTCCTAAAACATTAAACTAACAGATAAACCCAAAGAAATGTTTGGGATTAGAGCTGCTGCTGCTTCCTGATGGTCGCCTGAGCTTTTCTGTCCACTCACGTGGATCCTGCCCACAAAACACCCACACAAACACACCCCTGTCCCCATGGAGACTCCTGCTGCCCTGCTGTCATCTCTGGACCTCCTGCTGCTCTGTGCGAGGGCAGGTTTTACTTACCGATTCTCTGTAACACTTCTTCACGTCTTCGTAGGACAAGTCGTCGATCAGCTGCAGCCTGCGGGACACAGCAGCACCTTCGGTTAGACTCAAACACAAACTGCAGTTTCTGTACTGGGAGCGGCCCAGTGATACCAGAAGTTCTCCTTTTAGTCCCAGAGAACACAAACACACTGGATTAGAAGGAAATGCACACAACTACAATCGCTCCTGAGTGACTTCATCACTCTGTCTCATCGCTGTGGACGAGTTCTGGTCCACTCTTCTCCACAGGTTGTTTCACTTCATCGATGTTTGCAGCATTTATTCATGCACAGCTCTCTGAGCTCTGCGGCAGCTCTTTGGTATTCATGGTTCACTCGGCTCCTCCTCCCTCCACCACCGCCCCCAACCGCCTCCCTCAGTGAACACTGAACAGGCTCAGCTCTCGCGTCACCACGACGGTGTTCAGGGTTCGCACCGTGGCCCCAGTCAGATTAAACATATTCCATTAACCCTTACCTCATCATGTCTTAAATGTTCTTATCTTTCATTGAAAATGACTCCTACCATTGCTGGATTCATCACTTACAGCGGAGGGGGGGGGCTGCAGATTTTAGACGCTGATTTAAGTCACATGAAGTTCTCCAGACGCCTGGCAATCAACTAATCTAAACTAAAACCTGCAGGAGCCGGCCCCTGAGGCCTGGAGTTCCCCTGCCTTACAGGATCAATTATCTGAGGGGAAACCATATTCAGCACTAATTTATTCCTTTATTTGTTAAACGGTCGTCACTCCCGTAGAAACACTTTGCAAAGCTGCTTCTCTCTCAGCTTATCATCACCAGTTTTTCTGCTTCACCTGTTTCCTTACACAGAGAAATGGGGGCGGGGCATTATGGAGATAATATTGCTCAGGACTGATGGTTACGAACGATACACAGAGTCACGCAAATATTAGTGAAGGAGGCCCGTTCAGAGGGTTTGGAAACGAGCTCGTAACTCTTGACGAGGAGAAACAGCTGCTTCCTTAAGATCACCGCTGACGTCGTTCCTGCAAACCTCCAGAGCTTCTGCTTCCACTGAGGTGCTCTCACCTGCTGATGATCAGTTAATCGAGTGCATTAACTAAGTTTCCACGTAGTGATTTTGTGCTATCTGGGATAATCTCTGTGCAGAAACCAGGAATCCTGGAAAACTACTGTACTGTGTCTGTGAGCATCTTCAGGGAGAGGCGTCTCTCATCCAAACAGACATGAATGGACAGTAAATTCAAAGCTCTCATGACACATCACAGCACGACGTGTCATCACGGTGCAACACACACGGAGGTTTAACCTCCCGGCCAAAGAGCGCGCCAGCGCTCGGCTCAAGAACTGCTCACAGTCTGGAAGCTGATTCATGCACAGAGTACAGTGGTGAGGTTTCCCTCCTGCAGCCTCCTGTTCTAACTGCAGGACGGTGCTTCACACACAGAATAATTATCTCCACACTGAGCCACTCACAGCTGACTGTGGCCTCCACCATCTACAGACACAGACAACACACCTGACCGGCCCCGTGCGACCCCCCGAGGCCTCGACAGCGCCGGATGGTGACGCTGGTCACGTTTTGCTCATTTGCATGTTTCCTTGAGCTGCAGCAGTGCAGCTTTTACTCATGCGAGCCCGGCTGAGGCTCGTGAGGAGCCATCGCCACGTTCTGTGCAGCTCCAGCTCCTCTGTCAGAAACAAGGCCTTTAACGCTATCTGTGAGGGGCAGCCAATCAGAACAAACTTGACTTAAAGGGGGAGGAGCGAAAACAGCTTGTTTCTGAGTTAAAGAAGGATTGACCCGAGCACCTGCAAACACTCTGGAGGTCACAGATGTTCAGCTGATCAGAAGCAGCAGAAGATGATGGAAGCGACACAGCTGACCCTCAGGTCACCTCACCGTTTCAAACCCACCGCGTCCCTCGTGTCTGACAGACGTCTGCAGATGCTCTAACGTCATTAATGATCCTCTTCAGTCATTTTATGCAAACAGGAGAGTTTCACTGTCAGCTGATTTTCATCCTCGATCCCAAACTAACTGAACAAACACGAGGTCTGCGGCTGATTTCAGAGAGAAATCGCAGACAAATCATTAAAAATCATCGTCACCACACCAACGACTGACTTCTGGGAAAACTACGAAAATTCACATAGTTTAAACATTTCTGATTCAAATTGATGGGAGGAAGTTTTTCTCCGACCCAGAGCCGAGCGTCTGTCTCTACCTGTCGCGTCTGTCGTCTCCCATGTTTTCATAAGCTCCTGCTCGGCTGCTGACGGCGGCGTGAGGAAAGAAACGTCTGACCGGTCACGTGAAAAACATGAAGAGTGAGGAAACATCAGCGTGGAGAGCTGAGTCGAGGTGTTAATCCACCTTCTGACACACAGCTCAGGCTCTGCAGTTTGATCACACACACACCTCGTGCCAGGTTTCCTGCTCATGTAAATGCACTGTGGGCAGGAAGGGGTGAATCCATGTGAGGTTTATGCAAAGAGGAAAACAAATGAGGAGCTGAGGAGGAGGTCTGACCGCGAGCGATGCTGATGAGCGTTATTAACGACTCCCATCGGCCACTGCAGCTCCGAGGCCGACTGGCACGCTTCCCTCTCCCACTGAAAACACCATAAAAGAAGTAACTGTGCAAACTGTTGGAGCGTGCAGGGAAAGTGGGGCAGAGAAAGGAGGACGTGTTCACGCCGCACAACAGATTAGAAAATTGTTGTTCAGGTGCCAAGCCGGGTTTAGTCGACACACTTTTAGATTCCCTCAAAAATGAACCCCCCCACCCCCCACCTCATGATGCTTAATCGACGTAATCAACTTTAATTTGATGCAGTGTGAAAAAAAATGCACAGAAATCAATTATTTTTCAAGAAATATTAAATAGATTCAACATCTTCCTTCTACAGAACTACACAGATGGAAAAAGTACTACAGCTTACTAGGATATATTAGACTTAACAGTCACTATATACAGTAATGGACTTCTATACATTTTACATCAGATTAAAACTTTGGGTGTCAGATAATTATTTATTAAAAGCTAGACATTTTAAATGAGAATAAGAAAGAAAAGTATGTCTTTGTGCCCCCTTTTCCCTGTTCATGCCCTATCGGCCCCCCTGGCTAAACTTTGCTAGATCCGGCCCTGCACAGTTACCAGCGTCAGCTACGTAGAAAAAGATCCTGGAGTAGAAAGTAATATTAAATAAATTCTAACAACAGCTTATCAAGCTTAAACATGCTGCTGTTGTTCAGCCGCTGGTTTCCTCTTTCTGGTGCAAAGTGGGCCAAAAGCAAAGAAGAGGGCCGATCAGCTGATCATTGATCAGTTTCATGATTGAAGTAGCAGCAGGAGAGGCAGTCGCTCCATATATCGGTTGATGAAATGCTGGTTTGGTAGCGAGGGTACAAATACTCAACCAGACCACAGGGCACGCCACAGCCGCTCGATCACGTGAGCACACTGCTGCGACGTGCTACGGTTATGAGCCGAGTTACGCCGTGTCGCAAGTTCTGTGAGGTGCTTTTTTGATATTTAATGGATCGGATTACATTTTTTATTTTTCTGGGGTGGCTGTAGCTCAGGTGGCAGAGCAGGTCAGCCACTAATCAGAAGGTCGGTGGTAGAGCAGGGCGATATGGCCAAAAATATTTATCACGATATATATTTGAAAATTTGCGATAACGATATAACCGACGATATAATTGATGCGAGACAAAATACAACTCCACAACATTACTAGCACAAAAAGAAAACCTTCCATTTATTTTCACTTAAACAAGAAGCTGGTTTTTATGTACATTAAAGCTTTATAAAAATGTAACAGTGCAAATGCAAATTCCTTGCTGAAAGTTTAACCAAAAGGCATTTCCAGTAGAAATGTGCTGACATATCCTGAGCATAACCATGTATAATATCCACTGAAGTTAAAAAGAGGTGCTTTGCAACATTAAACTGCAGTGTGCAGTACGCATTTTTCGGACCATAAGGTGCACGGGATTATAAGGCACATTAAGCGAAACAAAGCAGTCAGATAAATCAAACTTTATTAAACTCATTCTTCTTGCTTCCTCCACTTCTGTACCATTGTTTCATTAATGTTGAATTCTCTGGCAGCTGCTCTATTCCCATGTTGTTGCAGTATATTAATGACTAACCTCGTATTGTGGATGGATTATCTCAGTTGTTCTCCTGACTGAAGTTTGGTCCGTTTACAGCATCCTGCCATGCGATAGCATTTGTCTCTAACCATCAGGAACCCTCACGTTAACTTTTATAAGTGGAAAAGTGTTAGTGTTCGTCCTCCAGCTTCACTGTTTATGTTATGCTAACATAGCTGTGTCGCTAGCGATCACGTAGCACATCATTATATACCAGCTAGCCCAACTTCAGTAACCCTACAAACGTCACTGCTGTTTAGTTTCCTGTCTTCATTTATGTTGGAAGTGATAGCAGAGGTGTACGTTTGATTTTTTTTCAGAAATCTCTGTCAGAACATGCTATATCATGCTTAGGTAACTAGCGAAACTAGCGAGCTAACTTCCGCTAGCTTCCTGCTAACTTCTAACTCCGTTAAATGTAATAACTTTTGTTTTCATGGATGCCTGGAAGTTAAACTTTATAGTTACACCTGGTAAAGTAGCAATGCTGATCGTTTTATTAAAGATGAAAGAATTTAGACAGTTTTTAACTCTCAGTGATGCTGCAGTGTTGTTTGACCTGAAGTCAAATATACGGAGTTTGGGACCCAGATTACTCCCAGATTTAAGAGCATCTTAGTCCGACAAATACGACAATAACAACGGCCGCTTGCATGTTCTGCAAAAAATGTGCTTTGTTGTGTATCTGACGGACAAACACCAAACCAGTTCCACATCACTGAAGTTGCACCATTTTTACAAACCAACAATCGGCCATGTGCGTATGAAAACAAAGGCACTGCGCATGCGCGTTTTACTCCCATTCTATCGCGATATTTCATTTTCCTATCGTTGCCTAACATTATACCGGTATTACCGTGAACGGTATAATATGGCCCAGCCCTAGTCGGTGGTTCGATCCCAGGCTGCATCCTGGCTGCATGCCAAATGTCCTTGGGCAAGACACTTCACCCGTTGCCTACTGGTGGTGGTCAGAGGGCCCGGTGGCGCCAGTGTCCGGCAGCCTCGCCTCTGTCAGTGCGCCCCAGGGAAGCTGTGGCTACAATGTAGCTTGCCATCACCAGTGTGTGAATGTGTGTGTGAATGGGTGAATGACTGAATGTAGTGTGAAGCGCTTTGGGGTCCTATGGACTAGAAAAGCGCTATACAAATGCAGGCCATTTACCATTTTTCTCCGATATCCGATCCAGTAATTTAGGTCAGTATCGGGCCAATACCGATACGTAATATCGGATCGGTCCATCTCTAGTAGGCGGTAGGGTAAAGTGTCTTGCCCAAGGACACAACGACCAGGACAGAGAGCAGGGGGATCGAACTGACAACCTTCCTGTTACAGATGAGCTTCCCAATCCCCTGAGCCACGGTCGTCCCCCGAGACGGCGCTGTTTCGCCTCTGTTGTCACATCTGGCCTCTTCTCTGCGTGGAGCTTTAACCTGCAGGTGTGGACGCCACGCCGACTTCTGGTCATCCCAGTTTTTGGCATATTGGTGAAACTCTCTCTCTCTAAGATGTTTTTTTTATACCTGATCATGTGACGGAGCTGCAAACTGTTCCTCCAGCTGTTTCTGTTTACTGGTGGTTCCGGTAACAACCACACCCTCTCTGACATCACAGACATCGTAGTGCAGAAAAAACTGACAAACTGAGTGTTCAAGCGGCCTGCAGGATTACTGCACAAACTGCAGGCTCATCGTTACGAACTCTGGTCATGTTTAACATGAAGAGCCACCTCAGGGCCGGAGATACAATCATCTTCATATTTATATCTATATCAGGGACGATCGTTAGTCTGAAAGCTTCAGTGAATCTTAGGCTGCGTCACACTGCAGGCAAAAGCGCATCAAATCCGACTTCTTTGACCCTCTGCGACTCATATCCGATCATGGTGTGACAGCGTGAACGGCACAAATCCGACCTGGGTCACTTTGGTATGTGGTGCTGAATCCGACACATATCTGATGTTTCAGAAAGCGACTGCTGCTTGATGGTCAGGTCGCATTAAATCCGTCTTTTACGTCACTGACACAAGACAGACGCCAAATATCAGCGTCCAACATCGCGAACGCTTCCTGTCCATCCAGTGAAACTGTTGGGAAGACAACGTTGGAGAAACGTGAACATTTTATTTGTTCTGTATAATCTGCAGATTCTGACAGAAATCTATCCTTTGAAGCTCCGCTCCTCTAAAACAGCAATAAGGATCATTATTAGGTTATTTACATTATTATGTCAATAACAAAATAACTTAAAGCAAAAATTGGGAAATACAGTGGGGCAAAAAAGTATTTAGTCAGCCACCGATTGTGCAAGTTCCCCCACTTAAAATGATGACAGAGGTCAGTAATTTGCACCAGAGGTACACTTCAACTGTGAGAGACAGAATGTGAAAAAAAAATCCATGAATCCACATGGTAGGATTTGTAAAGAATTTATTGGTAAATCAGGGTGGAAAATAAGTATTTGGTCACCTCAAACAAGGAAAATCTCTGGCTCTCACAGACCTGTAACGTCTTCTGTAAGAAGCTTTTCTGTCCCCCACTCGTTACCTGTATGAATGGCACCTGTTTGAACTCATCTGTATAAAAGACACCTGTCCACAGCCTCAAACAGTCAGACTCCAAACTCCGCCATGGCCAAGACCAAAGAGCTTTCGAAGGACACCAGGAAAAGTATTGTAGACCTGCACCAGACTGGGAAGAGTGAATCTACAATAGGCAAGCAGCTTGGTGTGAAAAAATCAACTGTGGGAGCAATCATCAGAAAATGGAAGACATACAAGACCACTGATAATCTCCCTCGATCTAGGGCTCCACGCAAGATCTCATCCCGTGGGGTCAAAATGATCATGAGAACGGTGAGCAAAGATCCCAGAACCACACGGGGGGACCTGGTGAATGACCTGCAGAGAGCTGGGACCAAAGTAACAAAGGTCACCATCAGTAACACACTACAACGGCAGGGAATCAAATCCCGCAGTGCCAGACGTGTTCCGCTGCTGAAGCCAGTGCATGTCCAGGCCCGTCTGAAGTTTGCCAGAGAGCACATGGATGATACAGCAGAGGATTGGGAGAATGTCATGTGGTCAGATGAAACCAAAGTAGAACTTTTTGGTATAAACTCAACTCGTCGTGTTTGGAGGAGGAAGAATACTGAGTTGCATCCCAAGAACACCATACCTGCTGTGAAGCATGGGGGTGGAAACATCATGCTATGGGGCTGTTTTTCTGCCAAGGGGACAGGACGACTGATCCGTGTTAAGGACAGAATGAATGGGGCCATGTATCGTGAGATTTTGAGCCAAAACCTCCTTCCATCAGTGAGAACTTTGAAGATGAAACGAGGCTGGGTCTTCCAACATGACAATGATCCAAAACACACCGCCCGGGCAACAAAGGAGTGGCTCCGTAAGAAGCATTTGAAAGTCCTGGAGTGGCCTAGCCAGTCTCCAGACCTCAACCCCATAGAAAATCTGTGGCGGGAGTTGAAAGCCCGTGTTGCTCGGCGACAGCCCCAAAACATCACTGCTCTCGAGAAGATCTGCATGGAGGAATGGGCCAAAATACCAGCTACTGTGTGTGCAAACCTGGTAAAGACCTATAGTAAACGTTTGACCTCTGTTATTGCCAACAAAGGTTATGTTACAAAGTATTGAGTTGTATTTTTGTTATTGACCAAATACTTATTTTCCACCCTGATTTACCAATAAATTCTTTACAAATCCTACCATGTGGATTCATGGATTTTTTTTTCACATTCTGTCTCTCACAGTTGAAGTGTACCTCTGGTGCAAATTACTGACCTCTGTCATCATTTTAGGTGGGGGAACTTGCACAATCGGTGGCTGACTAAATACTTTTTTGCCCCACTGTATAAAGTCCGAAGTCTTTATATTAAGGCCATCAGTCAAACATACTGTTGCTCTGGGTCTAAACTGAGCACGTTGTGTGTGACGTCTTCTTTTGCGCATGCGGGCTTTGAGCGTTCACACTAGAGCGCGTTTGCTGTCGCATTTTATTTGTAGTGTGAACGAGCAGACAAAAAAATGGGATTTGATCAAAAAATCGGAATTGAGCATCAAGACCTGCAGAGTGAACGTAGCCTTTGAGTGTTTCTGGGGTTTTCCTCCCGTTTGGCCTCTCAGGCTTTCTCTGCTGCCAGGAAACGTGAGCTGATTGCACGTGGTGCAAACACACACACGTACACACAGACACACACACACACACAGACTGTGACTGCAGCTTGCTTCATACGTGACGGGAATAAGAGCGCAGCGAGAGACACTGAGGCTTCCTCTCACTGCCGACTGTCTCTCCTGCACGTCTCCTCAGCTTTAATCTGCTGCCAAACACACACACACACACACACACACACACACACACACACACACACACACACACACACACACACACACACACACTCTGTCAGGACTAATGAGGCTGTGGGCTCCTCCTTCTGTTTTGCTCACACTTTGAGTGTAAGCGAGCGTCCGGCCGTCCTCCTGTCCTCCACCAGCTGTCACACTGGCTCAGGAACAAGATGCAGTTTCTCACCTGAAGGGTAGGGGGCAGGGTCCATCCTCCTCCCTGGGGGGCTCCACCTCATGGGGGGGCAGGACACCTACATCATCACTGAGCTCCAGCTGCTCTGACATCATCGTCACCACCTGGAAAGTCAGGAGGAAAAACAGCATCAAGAGTTTTAATCATCAAACGAACCTGTGCATCATGTCTTATTTAGTCTTATTTTAGTTTTTAAAAGAAAACAAACACTTTTTATTATATTTATTTTTGTTGATAGTCTTTATCAAAACAACAAAGTAAGAGGTAAGAGGATCTCATTTTTATGATAGGAAAAACGCACTTTTCCTATCATGTTAGCACCTGTGAGGCAGATCACAGATGATACATCATCCAGGACTGTGTGTACATGAGGGTGCGCTCTGATTGGTCAGCTGAGCTGCAGAGGAAACTTTCGATCTGAAGGACCACACGTTACGCCTGTGCTGCCATGGCAACAGCACGATGGGGGAGGAAGATGGCTTCTCACATGCAGTGTGTGTGTGTGTGCGAGGTTGCAGCCTCACACCGACATCGTCGACGTGCAAAAATCAGATTGTGATGAAAAGAACTGCAGTGACTTCATTTCCCAGAGTGCCCCTCTGCCCTGGCATCCTTTCTGTTGCCGTGCGCCTCCTTCGGCGCGTTCGGCATGGCGTCTGCGGGCTCACTGCAGCTTGATGCAGAATGAAATCATATGTGTTCACTTTTATCCTTCAAACAAACACGAGCAGTTTCTAATGTTTCTAATGTTCAGAGTTTATTTTCTCTCAGAGGCAGAGAGAGGTGGGTGATGGGAGGACCGCGTCAATCAGACAGTGGATCGACGCGCTGCTCGAGTTATCAGCGGATTTCACATTAAACGCACTTCCTCTCAGCATCACATCAGCACAATCACTTCCTCGTTTTCAGAAAACGTCCAAAAACAGTTTTTTATGTTTACTGGTGTGACCGAGGAGGATGCTGGGACAGGAGGAGAGCCCTGTCAGGAGCTGCAGCACTGTGATGGATGAAATCTTTGCAACACAAAGATGAGGGTTTAACACTGTGGGGAGAAAAGCTTTTGAAACAGTTCTCAGATATGACACACGCACACATGTGAGTGAAGGTTTCCACCAACAGCCGTACCGCCACGGCCGCCGAAACGAAGGATATATTCAGAGAAAATGAAGATAAAAGCTCAGAGAAGCCATCATGCAGCTGATTCGACCCGTGCTAACATGCCCGTGACATCGAAGGAGGTGGGAACGCACTACAGTTGCCTCGGTAACAGGCGTGATGCTTACACTCTTTCACCTGCTTCGCCTGACAGCTGGTGCTGAACCCTCCTCCTCTTCCTCCTTTTCCTCCCCTCCCCAGGATGATGGAGTCAGACACCTCAGCTGGTGCAACAACCGGAAAAGTGCTACTCTCCTCTTTCTCCTCATTTCCTGTCACATGACTCCTGACGAGCTCCTGCAGGCCTGAACACGTTCATCACAGTTTTTTCTACTCTTGCATCTGTGTGATGTCATACAGAGAGGCTCCACCCATCTGAGGTTCAAACCTGCTGTTTACACGGACCAGCCAATCAGAAAAAAGTTGTCTTTGAAAGGGGGGCGGTATGAGATAAAGAAGGATTATTCTGAACTGTGACTGATGCAAAGCCGCTCCAGCAGAGTGTAAGAATAATGATCGTCATCATCATCACCTGTGTCAGTTCTTCGGAGCATGAAGAGCTCGATCACAGGAAGCAGTCTGAATGCCGACCGCTGGCCTTCAAACTGCCAGCCTGCACACAGAGCAGCTCTTTCTGTGTTTTCCTCATCGTGGTTCCTGATGAATTGCATCTATGCAAACGATAAGAAAATAAAACTCCTCGAAAGCCACATTCAAACTTCACCACCTGCCTCTCCAAGCATCAGGACGCCGTATCCTGCAGATCACTGAAGGCGGAGGGACCCGTTTGTCTTTAGACATATTTCTATTATTGCGATCCATAAAGCTTTGAAATCTCCAAAAAAGCCATCTGACAGTCTGAGTCAGCTGACTTTACTTCTGAGCCTATTGTTCATATTTTTAATCTGAGTATCCAGGATAATATCATCCCTAAAATCTGGAAAGCAGCCTCTGACCTCTCAGATCTGAACATCTGCCGTCTGAATCCAAACTTTGTGTGTGGACCTTAAGTATCAGGATCGATGAAGAGCTTGGGTCATCAGCATCTCTGATGGTAACAAAGGACAGTGGACGGCAAGCACACTGCTGTGTTTGTTGAGCTGCTGTTAGGAGGTAAAACTCAGATGTAGTAAAGATTCCTGAAGATGAAGGAGTCCCCCAGGGCTCCGCTGTAGACCCTGTTTTATTTTCCTTTTTTATGAATAATATAAGAAAGAATATGGCTACAGCTAGAAAGCTCCTTTATGCAGACAGCATACTTTACTCGGCGTGCTCACCTCTGCATCAGGTTGTCGAGGGGCTTCCTTTCAGCAGCTGCAGGCTCTTAATGCTAACAAAACCAAATTCAGGTTGTTTTCCAGGAATCACTCATAGATAATGTTGGTATTCACACCCTCGGAGCAGATTTTATGGAAAGAGTGTCGTTCTAAGAAGGTGTAGGTCTTCGGTTGGATGCTCAGATTTCTTCTGGTACTCAATGAAAAAGCTTTGATTGATTAAACATGGCTTGTTTTGACTCATCAGTTGAGAAAAACTTACACAGGAAACCTGTTAAAGTTTTCTTGGTTATGGTGACGTTATGTATACACAGAGCGCAGAGACCCTTAGAGGAATCTCATTTCTGCCACTTATTCTTTCAGTCGTGGCCCAGGTGGCGAAAGATCGATCGATGCAGTTTGCAAACATAAAACTGAGATACTTAAACTCCTTCACTCGAGGCAGATACTCTTCCTCTTTAAGCGAGCACATCGTGCTTCGGCCTCAGGCCTTCAGCACCCCTGCAGCTTCACGCGCTGAGGGTGAAGGGTTTTTACGCTCCTGAAAAGGACGCTTTTTAATTTGTTGGATGTGGTTTGGCTTGTTCCTTTAAGCCGCTGTTTTATCTAAACATTTGGACCCTAATTTGCATTTGGTCAACAGTTTGCAGGTTCTGTGTGAAGCTCTAAGCCCTGCACCCATGTGAACAACAGCTTGTCTTTCGAAAAACAAAGATTGGTAATCAGACGGTTTCATGCAGCGGTGGTGGTTAGGAGGAACAGGAAGAGCCGTGTCATCGAATGATGACTCTGAAACCTCACGCTGATGAGAGGACAGTTAAGTGTTACCGACAGAGCTTCCGGATTATCTATGGAAAGTGGTGTTTCGATAGCGTGCAAGACTTTGCATACAGCAAAGCTCGAGGTACAAAAAGGTACACGCCTGAAAGACGAAACCTGAAGGGAATACAAACAGCTGCTTATTCAGTCAGACGAGACCAAAGTGAAACAGTCTGGGTGAGAACGAGCACACCACGACGAACGCCTGTTGACCCATGCGGGTGGGGGTGTGTGGAGCTGGCTGTGAGTCGGAGCTCTTTCCAACACGCTCTAACAAACATGTGCTCGATGTAATTCTACTTGCCCAGCAAGACTTTAATGCACAACTTCTACTTTTATTAGAATCCCAAACATGTTTTACTTTAATAAAATAGTCTCTTGATTAGGGCTGGGCCATGTCATACCGCTCACGGTAACACCGGTATACCGTTGGGCAACGATAAGAAAATGAAACATGGCGATAGAATATGGGTAAAACGCACAGGCGCAGTGCTTTTGTTTTCATACGCACATGGCGGAAAAAGCGGATCGTTGAATGAAACGGAGGAACCAGAACTGGTTTGTAAAAATGCTGCAGCTTCAGTGGAACTGGTTCAGCTTTCGTCCGTCTGATACACAACAAAGCACTGTTTTTGGTAGCGCGTGCTAGCGGGCCGTCGTTATCACCGTTATTACCAAACCGATTTGATGTGGAATACAGCAGTGGCACAAAAGAGGTTTTATTCTCATTTCTCAACAAAAATGCAGCTGAGACATGAAGCTAATACAGAAGCAGTTTTTCTGCTGGCCACTCGAGTCACACGCTAATTCAAACTTTATTTACACAGCGCCAAATCACAACAACAGTCACCACAAGGCGCTCTATATTGTAAGGTAGACCGTACAATAATACATACAGAGTAGTATGTATTATTGTACATACAGAGTATGTACATTTCATGTACATCTGCACTTTTATTAACACACAGCGCAGATGTACAAGAAACAATTACTCAGAAATAAATTATCAGCATTTATTAAATAATCATGCTCCATAAATAAAAGAAAAAATGTTGTTTTGTGCATAACAAAGAGCTCACAACTGTGCAGTCAAAATGTAAACTAACAGACGCTGAGCACAACAACAAGCAGCTGCTCTGTTCTTAACTTCTACTGCGTGACTGACAGCCTGGAGTTTGAAATCCTCTTCGTAACCGCGTCTCTGAACAGGAGCCGTTTATGGTCCTTATACGCACACAGTACGGTGATATTACGCTGAAGCACAGTACGTATCACTCCGCGAGGCTCCAGACTACGGCAGCCGTAACGCGGTGCGGCTCCGTAGCAAAGTCGTACTCAAACATTTTTAGTCAGATTGCTGAGCGCCGTGTTCCACAGAGAAGCGGTTCGCGGTCAGTGAGCACAACCAGAACTCATACATAAGGCGCGCTGTCAACTTTTGAGAAAATGAAAGGATTTTAGGCCGTGCAGCACCTCTGGGCGTTAGCGTGGTTAGCTCGTTAACACGTTGACGCCGTCCAGCCCCACGCACGGGGCGATGCGCAGTAACTCGTTAACGGAGATTTGCCGTGTCCATCTTGTCGCTGCCTGCAGGTGAAGCGATGGGGAGGAGGGGGTGTTGTGGTCAGTGAAGGAGAGGCGGAGCAACGCAGCGTAGAGACAAAAGTGGACGAAAGAGAGGCAAACCTGCGGCTCCACAACTATAATTATAGCATAGACTATATTGATATAAAGGATATTGTCACATCTCTTATCTCGTATAAAAATATATTTTTTAAAAACTCGATATATCGCCCAGCCCTACTGCAGAGAAAAACCCAACAATCATGTGACCCACTGTGAGCAGCACTTTGGCGACAGTGGGAAGGAAAAACTCCCTTTTAACAGGAAGAAACCTCCAGCAGAACCAGGCTCAGGGAGGGGCGGGGCCATCTGCCGCGCCAGGAAGACGGGACAAATGCAATTTTGCAGTTGCCATCAGAGTCGCCCCCTGCTGGTGATTAAGAACAAACTGCAGGTTGAGACATTTAAACAGCTCTGGGCCTGATTTCGTCCTGCAGACCAACACTGACAGTGAGCTTCTGTCTCTGCAGCTGCATTAACTTTGTGCCTCGCTGTCATTAACATGCAGCACCTCCCCTGCAGGCCTCAGTGTGTGTGTCTGTGTGTGTGTGTGTCCAGCACCACAAACAAAACACCTCTTTGACTGAGCTGCAGAGCGAGGCCGCCTCACACAGCTACCCCACAGCCTCACAGCAACAAAAGGAGCTCCTCGTTTCTACTTTTAGTCATGTTGATAAAATCCTCATCACTCTGTGCAAAGCTTTTCATGAAGGTGGAAATTACACGTGTTGTTATCTGTATTGCTCACTGACGGTTTTCTTTGTGAGAAACGCAGCACGGGAACAACTCTGACTGTAAAACCTCAAAGTTGTGGAATAACCCCGGGGTCCAATCATATTACTGATAAGCTGATAATGAAGTGTAACCTGATTACTTCATCTTCTGCAAACCCAGCACAGCCGATCAGGCTGAAGATGGGAGCTTCTCGAATGAGCTCAAAATCAGTTTTTCCCTGAAAATCTGCGACTTTATCACTTTAAACTTTTACTCTGAAGATCATTCCTACATCATCACGTCCTCTCTCCAGCTTCCTTTTCCTTCTTTCCTCCCTCCCCTGTCTTCCATCCTTCCTGACTTTTTTCATTCCCTCTTTCCTTCATATCTTTAACATCCCAGCAGCTTTGTCTCTGTGTAGAAATCAACTCTTTAAATTTATCCTTATTTTCCAGATAAAAATGAAATTCACACATTTCTTTCAGCGCCCTTTAGGACGAGCCCGAGAGCACCCGTTAGCTCGCTTCTTTGGTTGGCGGATGTAGACAGAAAGAAAAAATAGTTCCTCTGTGAAACGGCCCGGGTTTGTTGGCTTAGTTTGGTGGATTTTTGTGTTGAGGCGTGAACGATCACATGTGGAAACAAAAGTCAGGTCAAAGTGCTTAAACGGAGGCTTCACAGACGGGTGATGTCATGTGGTTACTTCTACTTTTTTATACAGTCTGTTGATGCTTCCATCTTTTATATACAGTCTGTGGCCACATCCATCTTTTATATAAGGTGGTGTCTGTAACCTAGCTGCTGGTGTTTGGTGAGTTATTTATTTAAGTAGATTTTAGGTGGAGGAGGGTGGAGAGTTACCTCAGCCTGACGCGCTCACGTGCATCAAACCCACATTAATAAAGTTCAATCAGATGTCTCATTGATATCTGACATCATTTCAAGCTTTCATTCAGTCTGTATCCATAAAAGACGGTTTGTTACAGCAGTAATGTGATTACTAACGTGTGCACGTGCTATTAACGCGCACCTATGAAAACAAAGCTGCTGCATATAAAGCGGTTTATTACTGATGAAGGAAAATATTAAAATAAGATCTCAGTAGACTCAACAATAGAATCCCCGCAGAACGAGCGCGTGACTCCTAGCGCAGACTCACCTTTACCTGCGAGGCTTATGCTGTCTTCAATCACGTCCGCCGGAGTCCCGGTCGGTCCGGTGTCGGTCCCCGAGTCCGTCCTTCAGCACCGACACAGGGCGCTCCCCTCTCTCTGTGCACGAGCTGCGCAGTCACGCTGGCAGCATTCGACACAGCGTGTGCAGGAAGTGAGCGGAAGTGCCTTTCAAAGTAAAGAATGAATGAAAGTTGAGTGTTTAAACGGGTTTCACTCGTGAGGCACATTTAAAAACGTTTCTCTGTCGGTTTCTAATCCAACCCCACACAGATGTTCCTGATGTTTCTGCTGCGTCATCATCACCTGTTACCTGTCTGCGTCTCACCTGTCTGGATCACCGTTCGTCAGATCCACTGTCTCTGAAACACACCTGATGACATCATCACATCTTTGGCTGAAAATCATTTCTGTGTGTTGGAGGGGCTGATGCCCAGGTGTGTTTAGAGAGGTGCGGGGAGTGGGGCGGCATCTCCTCCTGATGTATGAGAGCCAACCCCGACTGATGTGATTGGATTAAACAACCACAGTCACATTTCCTTCCCTGAGTGCAGCTTTAACATGCCGGCACTTTTTTTAAATGATGAAGGTTTATAAGCTTTAAAGTGAATTCAAACTACCAGCAGGTTCTCAGCTCCGCAGGTCACGGCTGATTCCTTCAGCAGAAGGAATCTGAGTAAAGGAGGAGACCCAATCCCAGGTGAGTCCATCCCAACCATCACACCTCGACCCACATGATGACCCTCAGGACCTCCTCCAGGCTGGGACACCAGCTTTTAGGCTGAGAGGTCAAATCTTCATGAGCCTAACAAGTCGTCAAGGTGCCTTCACCTCAAACAGGAAGCGAAGAAACAGCCACTGTGACATCACTTCCAGGACACAGGTGTTTCATTGCACAGAAGTTAAAGCTGTGCTTTGGTGTCATGACTTAAAGGAGGCCTGTGAATTCATGAAGACTAAATTCTTGTTGTTCAACCTCCTGAAGACTTAATGCACCTGTGGGTCTCTTACACTCAGGTTTACCTGTCACAGGTGAGTCAGACAGCTCATGTTAACCTGAACCCTCCGCCAGGTGTTTAAAGTGGATGTTTTTTTATTTTTCCCTGAAACACAGTCAGGGATGGTTTCCTTAGAAACCACCATCATCCCAGCCTGCACGTGATGCGTTCAGTGGACATCTGTAAACGGCACGAACGAGAAACAAACTCCACATCATTGAAATGTTTCTGTTGAGCTATTTGACAACTCAACAGCGCCGCCGTGTGGCCAAGCGAGTGCACTGCATCAGAAATCAAACAAACTTCCAAACCACCAGATTTTTTAGCATTAAACAAAACTCTCTTTTTAATATTGGCTTTTATTTCTTCATATACAATCAAGCAGAAGCTTTTCAGTTATCCTCAGAGGCACTCGTGATGATGAGGAAACATGAACAGATGTGGAAATCCGTTCAGTGGATATCTGTGTGTCCTTAAGTGGCAGACCCAAAAACCCTCCACAGCTGATGAACAGGATCTGAGAGTCACAAGAAAAAAAGAATCAAACAAAGAGAAAAACAAAATGAAATAACCAACGTGAAAGCAAAATGACCCGAGTAAATAAGTGAAACTAAAAGTCTTTTTTTACCGTTCTTCAGATTGTGGTTGCCGAGAACGACGTGTGTGAGGCCTCTGAGGGAGTAATCAGCGAGAATTTAAAATGTAAACTATTTTAAACCTGATCTCTTGATTTCTCAGTCGTTACATGCAGGCTAATGTCAGCAGCAGTGTTGGCCAAGTTACTTGAAAAAAGTAATCAGTAACTAATTACTGATTACTTCCCCAAAAAAGTAATCCCGTTACTTTACTGATTACTTATTTTCAAAAGTAATTAATTACTTAGTTACTTAGTTACTTTTTAAAAACACGATTTACAACCTGAAGAGGTGATAAAGTGATAGATCTTTCAGCCCAATTCTACTTTTTCTGCATAATCATCATATAAAATGTAATCAAATGGAAAAGTCACTTTTTAAAACTTGTTTTATTAGTTTTAATCTTTTAACTTTATGCATCAAGCAAAAAATTTTATTATCTGCAACATTCACTGACTGGAAGAAATTAGTTTAACATTTAAACCTATTTTCTGCACATTCCAGCTCATAAAATAAAATATTTTTTGTGTTTACACTCAGTCTTTCAAATAGATGCAAGTAAAACACAGTAGAAAATAAATAAAGTCACAGACTCAGCGGTCCTGTTGCTCTATTTTCACCTGTAAAGCAGGAGTGGGGCAGGCGGAGGTTTACCCTGGTGCAGGTGTGCCGCGGTCAGTGGAAGAATCCGTGAGTTTCTCTGTGAGTTTCCCATTACGTCGTAGCTACTCGGTGCTTGTTGGAAGTTTAGGGTTTTTTTGGCTGTAAAAAGAAGTTTTCTTCTCACGCACAGCGGACACTAATGTTTTTGTCACTTTTTATGGAATCAAACTCAAAGTAAGGTCAGTACTTCCACGCTTTAAACGCTGCACGCTCACACTCTCTCTGCACTATTGTTGATCTGCACACAGCTGTTGTCACCAACGTCGCACTCACTTACGTCACTGTCATGAGACATTCTCGCAAAAAATCACGTTTTAGTAACGCAGTAACGCAGCGTTCCTACGGGAAAGTAACGGTAATCTAATTACTGTTTTTGCAATAGTAATCCATTACTTTACTCGTTACTTGAAAAAAGTAATCAGATTACAGTAACGCGTTACTGCCCATCTCTGGTCAGCAGTGCTGTATCTAACGGCTGTCAGAGGTTTGTTGTTACATATTCCAAAGGTCATTAATATTTGATGATGTTAAAGTTAATCATCTTTTATTATCCTTTAAAATAACACCTGCCTCGTCAATAACCTGTATTTATTCATCAGATCACTCTAAGTTTGAAAATGTTTTTGTATAAAGTCGATGAACAGGAAATCAAACTCACGAGTTGCACTAGTGAGCACAAAGTCTTCAGTGAGGAGAAAACCTCCACAGACATGTCGACCCTCGTTATCCTGCACTGACGCCATCGAGCTCTGCGCCGCTTGTTCTCCATGAAAGATTCCTGTTGCAAACTCTGATAAAAGAAGAAGTTAAAGTCAGTGTGGCGTTTACAGCATTAAGATAAATCAGGTATATTTGATGTCTCACTGATGTCTCGCAGACATGGTGGAAGACAAAGAAGCAGCTTGTGCAGACAGCGCATGGTGCCAGCAGGAACCTCAAACCGTCCTTTACTCTGTAGAAAGACTTTTATACAACACGCGTCTTAGTTTGAAGGCTGGACTATCTTCATCATCTCGACTTCCTGTCATGCTAACCGCAGGCTTGTTCTTAGCATTAATAATGTTGGAATCTTGTTGGTTATGATATGCACAGCTGTCACATCTAGTTTTGCGTTTTCCTGTTGGTACATTTGGACGTCGTTGGCTCTCATTCTGCAGTTTACAGACACCTGAAGTCTCCGGCACCGTCACAACCATTAGTGACCTCACGGTGTCTGCTGTGAGGACGGCTCTGGAGACCAGAGACAGCACAACACTTATACTGCAAAATGATTTTTACAAGTTGTTGAATGAAGTTAGTTTGACAGAAAGTTCTGAGTAAAGAAGAGATGTGTCTGAAATTCTCCAAGCCCCTCCCCTTTTCTTACAAGAGTGGTTAGCATCATGGAGAAAACAAAAACAGCTAACAGCAGAGATTTCATCAGCTGAGATTACAGCTGCAACTCTCAGGTGAAACTGTATCAACATCATCATACAGGTAAAATGATCCAACAGAAGACAAACTGAAGCCTTGCTGGGAAACAGCAGTGAAACATCAGACCGTGTCAGCAATGCAGCAAGGCCACGTCAGCGTGAGCAAAATACAGGATGAGATGGGGTCATCAATGAACCGCTGCTCAGGGTGAAACTGTGCTGCTGCTGGCAGAAGGAGAGGGGGGGTGGTGCGTTAGAAGGCATCGATGGATCCACATCCAAAAGCACATTTCTCCATTTGTTTTACGTTTTTAAACCAGGAAATATTTTATTCTACACAATGAAACCAGAGTCTGCAAGCTTTTTGTTTTGAAAGAAGAAGAACCCTTTGATCTGAGCGGATCCCTCCTGCCTCCCATCATCCCAGGACCCGAAGACGTTTCACAACATCAGCTTCTCTGTGGTGTTTTCAGGGAATAAATGAGGACACTGAGCTCGAGCGCTGCTCCACCAGCTACAGGTTTAATATAGATCAACAACAGTAGAAAAACAGAGGCAGAGACTACCAGACAAAAAGAAGAGTAGGAAATCCAACATCATCCAACAGCTCTTTAAAATAATTCCTCTGTACAGTATTTACACACACACACACACACACACACACACACACACACACACACACACAGAGCATGTTTACAGCTACACACTGAGGAGGAGGAGCCTGTCACTCAGTCAGTACAAGGAAGCAGTCTGAATACTGCCCTCTGATTGGCCGGCCCTCCTTCATCCAGTGTTCTCTTTATTTCACGTGAAGCTGAGACGCATCCAGGTAACGGTGTGATGTCACCCGGAGCTGAGCCCGTCCTTCTGAAAGAGGTCAGAGGTCACCCAGTCGTCCCTGCAGGTACGTCACTGTGAGCTCTGCATCCCAGCAGCACCTGCTGGCCAACGGGACCGCCCAGAACCAGCAGAACCCAACGGGACCAGGATCCGGTCCGGCGAGGGTCGGAGCAGTTGGCTGGACGTCCAGGCAGAGATATCAAACACACACAGAACACCACTGAACTGATGTCACGGAAACAGAAACACTTCTTCACGTGATCCAGTCACATGACTCGGAGAGGCGCAGAGGCTGGCCAATCAGGTGTGCCTGTAGAAAGTGAGAGGAGATCACGGGTCAGAAGATTTTACCAGGGAATGGTTTGAAATTAAAACGAAGAAGAAGGTGATGATGATGAGGAGGCTGATGTCCTGTTCAGTAACTGTTTTTTTACACTGAGATTCACTGATCTGACCAGTAGGTGGAGCTGCTGCACTGAGACGCCTGAACCAGGGCAGGTACAGGTGTACAGGTGGAGAGGAGCGGCACAGAAGTCCCAGCATGTTCATGGATGTGATGAGCACCTGCGCAGCACTCACACATAACTGCTGTGTGTGTGTGTGTGTGTGTGTGTGTGTGTGTGTGTGTGTGTGTGTCTGTGTCTGTGTGTGTGTGTGTGTGTGTGTGTGTGTGTCTGTGTGTGTCTGTGTGTGTGTGTGTGTGTGTGTGTGTGTGTGTGTGTGTGTGTGTGTGTGTGTGTGTGTGTGTGTGTGTGTGTGTGTGTGTGTGTGTGTGTTTCTTACCGTTCTCACCTCCGTGCGGGCGGGTACATGGACTGGGCGGACGCTTGCTGACTGGCGACGATGGCGGAGGACGAGAGGCCTGAAACAAAGACAGGATGTCAGAACTGAAACAGACTCGCACACGCCTCTCATTAAAAGCAACTGCAGGCTCAGAGGGGTGAGGTGGGCGGGCTCAGAGGATCCCTTTCCAGCTATGAATCATGGGAGGTCAGCTTCACCATGGCTGTGTGGCTGGTCACTAAACTGAGCAGGTTGTCCTCCAACACCTGAGCTAAAGAGGATCTAAAGGCAGCAGGCGAGGCTCACCTGAGGGGTAAGACAGGTCGTACAGAGGGTATCCCAGGTGGTGATGGGACTGCATGATGCGCTGCGAGGGCGAGGAGCGTGGCCGGTCGCCCTCCCTTTCTCTCTCCCGCTCTCGGTCATGTGGCGTCTTGCTGTCCTGGATGGACGGCGACTTGCTTTTGTACTGGCTGGCGTGCAGCTGCAGCAGGTCCAGAGCTTTGGCCTCGCTGGACGGCTTCACAGACGGACTTGACCTGGAGGGCTTCTCGCCGTCCTCGCCCGCCCCCACCTTCCCGCCGTATGAGGAGGCGTAGTAACTGGCTGGCAGGTACGAGCCTGGAAGGACAAACATGAACAAACAACATGATGTTTATGTTTGAACATAAAGGTTCAAACATAGGTTCGGCATGATGACGTGGCGGCAGCAGCTCTAAAGGTCAGTACGCCATTTTTCAGTGGTGATTAGTGTGTAACTGTGTTCTCCAACAAACTCAGGATGAATCCACTAAAAATACTGGAGCGCCGTGTTACCCCCACCAGCTTTGAACACAATGGCTGAGATGGATCCAAACATCACATTTTATGTATGTGGCTAGAGACCGCCCACAAATGCATGACGCCAAAGGCAGAGGAGAAGAGAAATCGCAGGCGTTTAAATCCATGCCTGCATCTTCAGACTGCAGATATGAAACACGTGTTTTATCCTTCACCAAACACATGACAGGAAGGAACGAGACAACGCCACCTTAACAAAATCTCATCCTATTCCTTCTCACCTCAGTCTAAAGCGCCACAACCGTTTCCACAAGGCCACTTACAGTGTGAGGCAAGCAACAGTAACAGTGACTTTGATGCGTCTTTGTTGACCAGCATGTTTGTCCCACAGTGGCCACCGTAGCCAGGATTACACGTGCAGTGGCGAGATAGCTTAAAGATCTTTAAACCTGTCAGAGTTCGGTCGAGCTCTCAGCATCGACTCCTCTACCGTGCTTTCTTTCGGGGGCCAGTGAAAGTCTGATCATCCGGGGCCGTGCGTCGCATTCGTCTAATTTTATATTAATAACGTGAATGAAAATGAGCAGAAGTAGATTTGAAGCGTCGGCTGGTCTAAAACAGCCTGATCTCATTTGTTTACACAGAAATGTGGAAAAAAGTGAAAATTGGTGGATTTTAGAGGAAGTTGCATGTTGAAGTTCAGCTTCCTGAAGCCGTATCACCGTGAACAGTCGGCAGGTTTACCGGCGAGCCTAAACAGAAACCAAAACCAACAGCTGGCACTCGCTCGTCCCTCGGACGCCACAAAGAAACGTGGCTTTTAATTTAACTCCTCGCTGGTTTTCACTCTCCAGCCCTCGCCGCCCTCGCGCTCTCTTTGTGCTGCGCCTGCTTTATGTCGTGTTTGAGTTTCTCACCTGGGTAATTCTGCATCATGACCGAGGGCATGCCTCTGTACCCGGGGTGGCTCGGCTCGTAGCCCTGGCTGTAGGCGTACGGTCCGTGCATGTAGGGCACGTAGCCCTGATGCTGGGCCAGCGGCGAGGGGAATTGCATGTGAGGCGGGCGCGCCTCCTTCCCGCCCCCGCGGAGCTCCTCGGGGGGCAGCTGCGTCCTACCCTCCGCCACCTCCTTCGCCGCCTCGTCTTTCTGGAGGCTCTCCTTGGGCCGCGGCCTCTCTTCCTTCACCTTCCTGTCCCGCTCCTCCTTCCACCTGTCGTCCTCCTGAAGTTTGGGAGCCTCCGAGTATTTGCTGGGGTAGACGTAGGACCACAGACGTGAGTCGGGCTCCTGCAGAGAGGGAGAAACCTTCATCAGCATCAAACTAACCTCAATCAATCTTAAAACACAAGCGAGGTGGAACGTGCCGTGACAGAGGGAGGACACCTGTACCTGTCTGTACCACATGGCAGCTTCGACGCTCGCTGCTCGGCCCGGCTCTGCCCCTGACTTTGGCTCTTCTTTCCCGTGATGCCCTCCTTCACTCAGCTTGATCTTCAAACCCTCGGGCTGGGCGGCGGGCGCCTTGGAGTCCTCTCCCTTCGCCATGATGACCGACTTGGCCTGTTCCGAAGCCGTGGCGGGCTCTTTGGGCTTCGCTGGGTTCACGCCTCCCCTGGCGCCCAGATCCGTGAGGCTGGGCGCCCTTGACAGAGTGGGCGGTACCGATGCCTTCTGCTTCCACTCTTCTTTCACGGAAGCCTCGCGCTCTTTGCTCTCCGCCTTCTTGTCAGCGTGGCGCTGTCGCTGCTCCTCGAAGTGTTGACGGTAGGCAGGGTTGGAGGCCAAGAGGTGGGCGTGGTAGGCCTGCTCGTGGGAGTAGGAGTAGGGAGGGACGTAGTACTGGTTGTAATAGAGCGGCTGGGCGTACATGTTGGAGCGCTGCTGGATGACTGATGGCTGCGGAGGCCCTGGCTCCACCTTTCTCTCCTCCTGAGGCTCCTCCTTCAGTTTTCCCTCCTCTCCCACCTCAAGCTCCTCCTCTTTCTTCACTTTCACTTGTGCTATCTCACCATGAGGTGGTGCTGCAGGCGCTGGTCCCGGGCTGGGGTTGGCATAGGTGGGGGAGTAGTAGGCGTCGTAGCTGGGGTAGTACGGCGAATCTTTACTGGACGCCTGAGGGGGAAACAGCGCCTTCTTGGCGCTCTCACGAGGTCCCTGGTCAGGCTCTGGCTTGACCTTTACCCCCTCTGCCTTACCCTCGCCGTCCTCCCCAGCATCAGAGATGTCAGAGTAGGCGGGGCTACCGGTCTTGACCGATGCGTTGTCGGCTCCGTTCTGGGTCATGTGAAGCGTGGGCGCCAGGCCGGCCTCCATCCTGCTGGCCACGCCGATGGACGGGCTGGGTGCGTTGTCGGAGAAACTGTACACCTTGTCGGCTTCGGCTTTGATGCTGGCGAGCCGGCTCTGCTGAGCTTCCGAGGAGCCGTTGAGCAAAGCGTCTGACGCCTCAGAGTAGGGGCTCTTGCCCTCCTCTGGCCTCCCCGCCTTACCCATCGCCTTCGGGCTGTCCTCTTCCTTTCCGCCGTCCCTCTTCTTTTTGTCTTTCTTTTTCTTGTCCTTGGAATGGGCGGGGCTGGAGGCGGGGTCAGTGAGGGGCGCGGGTTTAGGCTGGACGTTTTTCAGCTGGGGGCTTTTGGGTACGGACTGTACCACTGAGCCAAGAGCGGGGGAGGATGCTTGGAGGGAGTATGGCGAGGGAACTCCGGGCGCGCCGGCGGGGCGAGTCAGCTTCAAGCCTTTCTGTCCCAGTTTCTCAGCTTTCCCCCCGGCCGTCATTTTCTTGACCTTCCTGTCGTCCATGCCGTCATTACTGGCCTCGTCAGTCAAACACGCCCCCTCCTCGCCACCGTCCGTCACCTCAGGCTCAGCCTCGCTCGTCTTCTTTTTAACCTTTGATGTCAGCTTGCCTGGTGAGGGCGAGGGGGCATCGAAGCCCCGACCCTTCGGTGTAGTGGAGCGAGCAGGCGAGATGGCGGCGCCGTTGCAGGAGGCGGGTTCGGGATGGAGGGCGGGGTCGTCCCCGTACTCGCTGTCACCGTCCTGGTCCAGTCGGACGTCCTGGTCGTTGTGGGCGCGGGCCTGGTGGTACTTCAGTCCGTTGATATGCTTGTACTTCTTGTTGCAGTTGGGGTGGGGGCAGTCGATGAGGACGGGGGAGGGGCAGGTCCGGTCCAGCTGTGGCGGCGGCAGTGAATCGGCTTTGCTTCCAGGCAGAGGCGTCCCGGCGCCGGTCGAGTTCGTTCTCATGCGCTTTGACGCTTTGGTGTCCTCTGAGCTGGAGGTGGGGTCCATATCTGAGGCGGGCTTTGTCTTCCTCTTAGCGGAGGACGGGCTGGCTTTGGCGTCTTCGCCGCAGCCAGCCGTCTGACTCCCACGCCGCCCTTTGCTGTTGGCCGTGGCGCCGCGCGTCTTACTGCTGCCGCTGCCTTTATTGTCCGACGAGTTGCTGTTGTCGTTCAACGGCGTGTTGCTGCTGGGACGCATCCTCTTACCTCGACCGCGGCCGCTCCGCATTTCCACGTCACTGGTGGGAGACTCGCAGAACCTAAAAACACAGAGGTGGACATCAGCGAGCCGAAAGACACACCTGACCTCACCTGTACCAAAGGTAACCAAAGGTGTCACGCAGCTGACTCAAACAAACCATCGTACAGCGCACAGAGCCGCAGCTGTCCATTATCAGTAATCGAGTATTGATTACTCCATCGAGTAATTGGATGAGACTTACGTTTGTCTTATTAATGAGCAATAATAAGTTGTTTTGTTTACCTGCATGAAACCTACAGCCTTTCCCTGTGTTTACGTCTGCAGGTATCGACCACGTGTCTCACTACAGGCTCATCTGTATGTTTGTCCCTGACACGTGTCTACGTGTTTACATGGTGGTGACTGAGCGTAGCAAGAACGAGCTTGTTTTATACTCGAGATCTCGGCCGAACGGCGTGAGCCTGAGTCGTTTCTGTACCTCGGCGGCGCCCAGTCGTGCCGCGTGCAGTCCAGCAGAGTTCCAACGTACGTCTTGTTCCTCCAGGTGACGTTCACAACCAGCATACCTGCAGAAAAACACACAGGCAAACCATGAACACGAGACATTTTTAGCTACTCGGCACGGAGGTTCTTTCAGCACTGTGTTTCGGCTCAGTTAAACTCAACTTGAGTTTTGAATTTCTTACAGCTTTACAAAATTAAAGAGAGCGCTGGGCCTTATATCAGCTTACATTAAAAGAAGCGAAGCGGAAACACTTTGCAAACATTATTATGGTGAATTATCAGAAACCACACATATTGTTTAAGCCCTCTTTCTGATCTCAGTTTTGAGCCGTCACATGAAATGTGTGAAAAGTTTCTGCACTTCTTTATAAAGAAGGTAGCCTCGGCTAGGGCGCGGATTACTTTGCCCACATCTGACGCCTCTGATCCTCCAGTTTGCTCGGCTGTCTTTCAACAGAGTCGGTTACTCTTGCTCAGCTACAGGAGGTGGTGGATCATCTAAAGCCTGTAGGCTCGCCCTACGATGCCATCCCTCCCCGTTTTCTGAAAGAAGTTTCTTCTACCACAGGTTCAACTATTTTAACCATTTTAAAAAGCAGCCTTACTTCAGGTGTGGTTCCAAAGAATTTCAAAGATGCAATTGTGCAACCACTTCTTAAGAAACCTGGGCTAGATACAAACGCTGTTGATATCTAATATCTAAGCTGCGCTTGGAAAAAGTAGCATGTAATTGATCCCGTTTTTGAATGCACAAAATGTTCAGATGATTTTCCAGTCTGGTTTTAAAGCAATGCATAGCACTGAATCAGCACTTTTAAGAATTTTAATGACATATTTTATCATGCGATTCTGGTGAAAGTGTCCTTCTTATCTTACTCGATTTAACTGCTGCATTTGACACTGTAGACCATGAAATTTCAATCTCGTGTTTGGAGCAGTGTGTCGGTGTAACAGGTTCTGAAATGGTTCAGGTCTTACTTAACAAACGGAGTCCTCCCGTGCTCCGCTGTCTCATGGAGTACCACAGGGTTCCGTTCTGGGCCCTATCCTGCTTTCGCTTTATTTACCTCCCTTGGGCTCAATTTTTAGGAGACACGGACTCTCGTTTCACTGTTCTGCAGATGACTGCCAGATTCATATTCCTCTTAAAAAGAAAGATGGGTCGTCTGTAAATCGCTTACGAACATGTCTGGAGGACGTCAAGTCGTGGTTGGCGCTAAACTTTCTTTGTTTTAATGATTCTAACACTGAAGTAATGGTGTTCAGACCTCCTCCGCTGCTGTTCCGTGTGTTGCTTTGCAAACCCCGAAATCCTGAACTTAAGCTTGAAAGCCAGATCGGGTCGGTTGTAAGGTCTAGTTTCTTTCATCTGAGGCAGCTGGCACTTTGAAACAGTAATCCGTGTCTTTGCAACCGCTCGGCTGGGTTACTGTGATTCTCTTCATTTTGGGGTGAGTCGATCTTCTGTTCTTCGACTGCAGCTAGCTCAGAATGCTGCTGCACGTCTTTTGACTGGCACTCGTAGATGTGAGCACATCACCCAGTTTTATATTCACTTCATTGGCTGCCCGTGCATTTTAGGATCATTTTAAGCTGCTTTTATTTGTTTTTAAATATCTGTCCAATGCTGCCCCTCTGTACCTCTCTGAGCTCTTCATCCACACATACCCTCCCGGCCCCTCAGGTGGGCAGACCAGCTCCTCCTGAGCGAGCCCAGGACTAATCGTGAGCTCAGAGGGGATCGGGCGTTTGCTGTGGTAGCACCAAAACTGTGGAATGAGTTGCCTTTACATGTTAGACAGGACCTTCCTTATCTGTTTTTAAATCACGTCTTAAAACATATTTATTTACCTTGGCTTTCAGCCAAACTTACAGGGGGATTTCCTGCACATTGCTTTCACTTTTTCACTCGGCGCCTGTCGCCGTCTTCTCTCGGCTGCTCTGGACTTTCCGTTTTACCATCCAAGCAGCTGATTGGCTCATTAGAAGCTGGGGCTGCGGACTTACTCTGGAGGCCTCTCTGCGGATGAATGCTGGTGATGTGTAACACCCTCAGGTGCTTTTATGAGCCAGTTCCTCGTCAGCTGATGCAGATTACGTTTTTAGCTAGCACTATCATAAATGTATATCATAAATTTGGATATCGGCCGACACTGATATGAATCTGATACAGTTTTCTTTAATCAATAAAACTGTTTTTTTTTTATATATCTTGCTGCATTTTGTATAAGTTCATACTCAAGTTTAAATAAACAACACTAAAGCTATTCTGTTATACTGTATGTAAAAAATGCACTGCACCCAAAATATTTCATAGTTCAGCAAAACTGATCAATCTAATAAACTTAAACCTGCACCATCCTCCCTATTCTGGTATTTTAAAGAGTACTTAGCAGAAATATTAGGCAACCAAACTAATAAGGTTGCAAACTCCCAGCAAAAAAAAAAAAAATAGGGAACCACCCCTCACGCTCCACCTCATGATGCTTAATCGACGTAATCAACCTTAATTTGATGCAGTGTGAAAAAAAATGCACAGAAATCAATTATTTTTCAAGAAATATTAAATAGATTCAACATCTTCCTTCAACAAAATTGCAGACTGCACAGATGGTTCCCAAAGGAAAAAGTACTATAGCTTACTAGGGTATATTAGACTTAACAGTTACTATATACAGTAATGGACTTTATACATTTTACATCAGATTAAAACTTTGGGTGTCAGATAATTATTTATTAAAAGCTCGACATTTTAAATGAGAATAAGAAAGAAAAGTATGTCTTTGTGCCCCCTTTTCCCTGTTCATGCCCTATCGGCCCCCCTGGCTAAACTTTGCTAGATCCGCCCCTGCACAGTTACCAGCCGTCAGCTGTAGAAAAAGATCCTCGAGTAGAAAGTAATATTAAATAAATTCTAACAACAGTTTAATCTTAAACGTGCTGCTGCTGTTCAGCCGCTGGTTTCCTCTTTCTGGTGCAAAGTGGGCCAAAAACAAAGAAGAGAGACGATCAGCTGATCATTGATCAGTTTCATGATTGAAGCAGCAGCAAGAAGAGGCAGTCGCTCCATATATCGGTTGATGAAATGCTGGTTTGGTAGCGAGGCTACAAATACTCAACCAGACCACAGGGCACGCCACAGCCTCTCTATCACGTGACCACACTGTTGCGACGTGCTACGGTTATGAGCCGAGTTACGCCGTGTTGCAAGTTTTGTGAGGTGCTTTTTTGATATTTAATGGATCGTATTACATTTTTTATTTCTCTCCAATATCCGATCCAGTAATTTACGTCAGTATCGGGCCGATACCGATACGTAATATCGGATCGGTCCATCTCTAGTGCAGTTATTAAAAAAACAAACAAACAAAAAAACAAAACAAAAGACTTCACATTGAAGTACAAACATCATTTTTTGTTGGTTTGAAAAAGCCAAAAGTTTTCTGACCCCACAATTAGGATGAAGGGATAGGAGTTAAGCTCCTCCCCTCTGGGGTCTCCACTTTAACAAATGAGTCCTCAGAGTAACTCCCCACACTTACAGCTCCTTTCTTCGATGTGCTGACGTGACTGTATCAAAGCACGGAAGCTGCGAGTGCAGCAGGAAGCAGACGTCTAGATGCGACTTTCCTCCCCGGCTGGGACGCAGATGTCGAACGCTTTCATACCAGCGTCACGCTCGGCGGGTTTCTGAGGTCGAACCGCATCAGTGATTGGCTGACAGTGGAGCTAATTAAAGAGTGAGATTGAGTACTTCAGCAGAGCTTTCCACTAACAGGAGCACTTCTAATGAACAGCTTCCTGCCCGAGCCTATCACCTCCACACAGGTTTTCCTCCAGCTACACGCCACTCTGCATTCGGCGTCCACAGGACGTGCAGACACGCTCACAGGACATCACTGAATAAAAACTGAGATGCACGACTGTTCAGCAGGGCCGTAATCCAGACAATAAACTGGACCTGATCTTTTCACAGAGCTCCACACTGGCTCAGCATCGGCAGCTCTGGACGCACATCACACCTGCTCAGAGGGGTGGAGTCATGAACGTTCAACCCAAGCTGATAAAACTGATGCATGTGTTTGTTACAGTATATCAGAAGGTGTTTTTTTCTCTGCAACAGCCAAAGGCAAAGAAAAAGTACTGACGGACCAATCATTTCATTTTTGTGGCTGAGTTATTGGTCCCACTGCAGCTGCATGAGGCTCAGCAGCAGTGAGAGGTCAGTGAAACATCAGAGCATTAATGAAGCACCTTTTCTCTAATCTAACGGGAGTTTTGTGGAGTGAAGGTGCAGAAAAGCTTTCTTTTTGGAATAATTTGGATTGACAGGAAGACAACGCGGTGTCCGCTCGCCGTCGCAGCTCGTAAAGGTTTGCTGCAGAAACCGAGAGTCTCTCGCTTCTTGTTTGGTTCGTTGTTCGTGTGCACGGCTCTTCTTCAGCAGAATGGGAAACGATGTTCAGGCCGGGGTAGTGCGAGTGCCTCTGATGAGCGCTCATTTTGTTCTTCAAATAAACACACGTAAAATAAAACTACGCAGCCATCTACTGCGATAACGCTTTTCTCACCGTCCTCCGTCTCCTGCCACACGATGCCCTCCAGGTTCACGCTGGTTCCCGGCTCACAGGGTCCCAGGCACTCCGGCTCGGTCGCCAGCGCCGCGTCAACGGTGTTCACGGCGATCGAGCGTGTGCGGACCATGATCTGCTCGCAGGGAGACGAGATGTCGCCGCTGCTGGGGACGGAGCCGAGGAGGTGGAGAGGGGGAGGAGCTGGGGTGGAGACTGGAGACTCCATCTGGACGGAGGACAGAGAAGACAAGAGAGAAATCAAACACGTGAGTGCAACCACAGGAGAGCTGGAAGGAAATCCAACCTAATGTTTAGTTGGTGCCAAAACAAAGAGAACCACTTATCACGTTAAAGAAATAAAGATCATTTATTCCCCGTGACGGGAACAGCACCTTTGACCTTCTTCAATCCTTGGCTGCCCATCAAGGCGGCACTCAAACATCTACCGTCTCTCTCTGAGGTAAAACTGCAGCTTCTGTGAATGAAGTCTGGTGCAGAACATCTCCACTTCCTGTCTGACAGCAGGTTAAATGTCTATTTAAACTTCACGCCTTACTTCGTCTCTCTGCCAAAACACAGAGCCATCCCCATCTGAGAGGAAGCAGTTTTTAATTATGGTTTTAAAGTCCCACCTTGACCCACCTGGAACATACACGTTGGTTTTCAGGTAAATTTGACAGTGCTGAGAGCTGACGATGAGGGCGGTCCACACCGTCCTCTTCTTTAAGAATGAGAGCTGCTGCCTGGATGCAGGGAAAACCGCTGAGGAGCAGGAAAACCTCAGACTAGCTCTCAAAGACAGAATGACAGGGGGCGGGGTTACACCTCCACTATTGGCCACAGACCATCCTTGCTCCTCCTCATTCAGCCGGAGCAGTATTTATTACAAGCAACAGGCAGATCAGCCTCTCTCTGGATCTCAGACGGAGGCAGAGGGCTGACGAGGGACCCGACAGAACCTCGGGCCACTCCGCTGGCCGGTGGGTTGACAAAGCGCTAGCCTGAGGAGTGAAGACGAGGAGCGTTTGCTCAAAGGTTTCTCTGTTTTATTGTCACCTGACAGCATAAACCGCCTTGAGACGTCTGCTGTTGTGATCTGGAGCCATACAAATAAAACTGAGTTTAACAGGAATCAGGCTTTAGGGTCTGGACTAGTGCTGCGCCATATCATACCGCTCACGGTAACACCGGTGTAACGTTGGGCAACGATAAGAAAATGAAACATGGCGATAGAATATGGGTAAAAACGCGCATGTGCAGTGCCTTTGTTTTCATACGCACATGGCGGAAAAAGCACGGCGGCGACGCAGAACGAGAAGAGTGAAAGCGGATCGTTGAGTGAAACAGATGAACCAGAACTGGTTTGTAAAAATGCTGCAGCTTCACTGGAACTGGTTCAGCTTTCGTCCGTCAGATACACAACAAAGCACTATTTTTGGTAGCGCATGCTAGCGGGCCGTCGTTATTCATTCTACATGGTTGTGCTGAGGATGTCGGCCAGTTTCCACTGGAAATGCCTTTTGGTTAAACTGCCAGCAAGGAATTGCATTTGCACTGTTACATGTTTATATAATTTTAATGCACATAAAAAACAGCTGCTTGTTTAAGTGAAAATACACTGATGGAGTTTTTTTTGGGAGAAGGGAGCTGAAGGTTGACAGACTGATTGGTGCAGCGGCTGCAGTAATGCGGACGCTGCACCGGTCCGTCGTGGTGAAGAGGGAGCTGAGTGTAAAAGCGAAGCTCTCAGTTTATCGGTCGATCTACGTCCCTACCCTCACCTATGGCCACGAGCTGTGGGTAGTGACCAAAAGCTGGAGAGATTACAGGGAGTGCATAATTATTAGCCAACGTCCTTTCCTTTGGCAAAATGGGTCAAAAGAAGGACTTGACAGGCTCAGAAAAGTCAAAAATAGTGAGATATCTTGCAGAGGGATGCAGCAGTCTCAAAATTGCAAAGCTTCTGAAGCGTGATCATCGAACAATCAAGCGTTTCATTCAAAATAGTCAACAGGGTCGCAAGAAGCGTGTGGAAAACCCAAGGCGCAAAATAACTGCCCATGAACTGAGAAAAGTCAAGCGTGCAGCTGCCAAGATGCCACTTGCCACCAGTTTGGCCATATTTCAGAGCTGCAACATCACTGGAGTGCCCAAAAGCACAAGGTGTGCAATACTCAGAGACATGGCCAAGGTAAGAAAGGCTGAAAGATGACCACCACTGAACAAGACACACAAGCTGAAACATCAAGACTGGGCCAAGAAATATCTCAAGACTGGTTTTTCTAAGGTTTTATGGACTGATGAAATGAGAGTGAGTCTTGATGGGCCAGATGGATGGGCCCGTGGCTGGATTGGTAAAGGGCAGAGAGCTCCAGTCCCACTCAGACGCCAGCAAGGTGGAGGTGGAGTACTGGTTTGGGCTGGTATCATCAAAGATGAGCTTGTGGGGCCTTTTCGGGTTGAGGATGGAGTCAAGCTCAACTCCCAGTCCTACTGCCAGTTTCTGGAAGACACCTTCTTCAAGCAGTGGTACAGGAAGAAGTCTGCATCCTTCAAGAAAAACATGATTTCCATGCAGGACAATGCTCCATCACACGCGTCCAAGTAGGCAAGAAAGGGTATAAAAGAAGAAAAACTAATGACATGGCCTCCTTGTTCACCTGATCTGAACCCCATTGAGAACCTGTGGTCCATCATCAAATGTGAGATTTACAAGGAGGGAAAACAGTACACCTCTCTGAACAGTGTCTGGGAGGCTGTGGTTGCTGCTGCACGCAATGTTGATGGTGAACAGATCAAAACACTGACAGAATCCATGGATGGCAGGCTTTTGAGTGTCCTTGCAAAGAAAGGTGGCTATATTGGTCGCTGATTTGTTTTGTTTTTGAATGTCAGAAATGTATATTTGTGAATGTGGAGATGTTATATTGGTTTCACTGGTAAAAAGAAATAATTGAAATGGGTATATATTTGTTTTTTGTTAAGTTGCCTAATAATTATGCACAGTAATAGTCACCTGCACGCACAGATATCCCCCTAAAATAGCTAAAACTAAAAACAAACTAAAAACTACTTCCAAAAACATTCAGCTTTGATATTAATGAGTTTTTTGGGTTCATTGAGAACATGGTTGTTGTTCAATAATAACATTATTCCTCAAAAATACAACTTGCCTAATAATTCTGCACTCCCTGTATATCTCGCCTTGGTGTTCCTGCGGATAAGCTGGAGGAGGTGGCTGGGGAGAGGGAGGTGTGGGCTTCTCTGCTTAGGCTGCTGCCCCCGCGACCCGGCCCGGATAAAGTGGAAGAAGATGGATGAATGTTTGTGTTTTTTTGCACTAATAAAGTTGTGGAGTTGTAAAGTATTTTGTCTTGTGTCAATTATATCGTCAGTTATATCGTTATCACAAATTTTCAAATGTATATGGTAGAGCTGGGCGATAGAACGATAACGATATGTATCGCGATATAACTTTTACTCGATAGAGAAATTAAGCTATCGCGATAGACCTCGCCGCTCGTCCTCTAAAAAAAAAAAAAAAAAAAAAGGTCAGCCAATCCAAACTAAGTAGCGCAGAGCCGAACCAATCACAGCCGCAGCGTCACGTTGCGTGACTTGTTACGTACAGCACAAGTGCCAAGCCGCACGTGTGTTTGTTTGGGAAGCAGCCAGCGCGTAATGGAGGAAATGAGTGTGCCGACTAGAAAAATCAACCGAGCGTGACCGAAGAGAAAACAGATGATGGTTCCAACGCCGGAGAGATTGTCGAACGGAAGAGCCATAGAAGCTCCGTAGTGTGAAGGTATTTCAGCTATTTCAAGTCTGACAAAAAACAGAGTAGCGTGCACTGTAAATGTGCCGAAAGCAAGTCTGGAAATACAATAAACTGGTGCATGCGTCACACTGTGCGCCACGTTATTGTTTCGGTGAAATGAATTTCTACAATACTGTTACTGTTAATTCTACTCTCTGCAGTGTTTAAATGCTTACATATACACACAGTTACTGTCCCTCCACACATACGACTCGGTTCTGCTTCTATGCCCCAGCTTTGTTTACTTTTTCCGACTGAGGCTTCTAGACTTCTGATTGGCCAACATTTCTGCACGGTTAGGAATCTAGCGCCACCTGCTGCTTTGGCATGTTCATAGCAGCGTTTTCCTTCATTTCTTCCTTTATGTGTGGACGGGATTATTTTTTAAAACGAAAACTGAAAATCTCCGTTTTCAAAAACACCCGTGTACGTGTGGACGTAGCCTCAGTCTCTGACTGGAAGCGCTAATTCGTCATTCGGCTTTTGTCAGACTAAAGTAACTGTTACAACTGTTTGAAAAGCTCAGCTATACAACAAGGAGAGATTGAGAATTTCCTTTTAGTTCTCAGTTTATTTGATATTGACAAAAGTTAGTCAGTTTTGTCTGTTCTTCTGTAAAACAAACTAAGATTTATTTTTAGAATTAATATTTTGTTTCTAAGTGGAATTGACAGTTTAGTCTGTTTCGTTTGTTCTGTTTTGAAACTTAAACAATCTAATCTTGAATTAACAGCTCACTCAGGACTTCAATCCACTGCAACTTTAACCTTTAATCGCAGTTTAATCTTGAATTAGCAGGCTCAGTTTACTCCCCACACTAACTCCAATAAATGGATGAATTTAAGGCTTTTTAAGGAACCACACAAACCCCAAAGCTGAAGCTTTCTGAAGTTATTCTTAAAAGAGTCGGTTTAACCTCTGACGAACAGTCCAGCTAGCTGTGAAGGAGAAGTGTGTTTACCTGAAATCAGCCCTGAAAAACACACCTGCCAGTGCAGTGAAATGATCAGCGGTAGAACAGAGAGGTCCAAAGACTCCTTTGTTAATGACGACACGGGTCTTAGTGCAGAAGCTTTAACAGTGGGATTATCTAAAAACAGAAACTGGGTTAGATTAGACCAAGTTTAATTTAGCTCAGGTTCACACGGAGCCACTTTTAGCTTGTCCACGGCCGACCGGGTCGGCAGTGACGAGCGCTTGGTTTGCTTTGGTTCTTTGTTCAGAGCTAAAAGCGAGCACATTTAGATCCTTTGACCACGAGGAGCACGCCGAAAACGACGCTCACATACATCATGTTCAGTGTGCAGCATGCGGGCTCCATCAACAACAAGGAGACACGATTATTTTCATTTGTTCAGGCATCAGCTTTATTCCTCTTACCTTTTCCCCACCCATCGCTTTCTTCAGATTTCGGCAGTCGCCCCCATCCACCTCTTCCTGCTCCGTCGTCACGACCTGGCCTATCCTGGCTGAGTCCAGCGGCGTGTTCCCGAGCTGCTCGGCCGTAGCGAGCTCGGGGGCCTGTTGGCCCTCAAAGGGTCCGCCTCGAGGTGCTCCTAACGGCAGCACCGAGGACTCTTTCTCAGCGTTCGCCGCTCCCGCCTCCATTTTCTCCTTCTTGCTTTTCCCAGACACCCCGTCCTTGTCCTTTTTCACCACAGGGAGGATGCGGGAGGGCTTACTCGACTTGTCCGTCCCCTTGCTCGGGGCAGAGTTGGCGTTCTGGGGCGGCAGGTCCCCGGGGACCCGGCCCTGAACCTCTTTTTTAGCTCCGTCTGAGTGCGGCGTCTTCACGCTCTCCTTAGAGTTTTTACTGCGCTTGGATTTGGATTTGCTCTCTTTGCCCGCCGTGGCGGACGCAGGGCTAACAAACTTTATATTGTCAGGTAAAGCTGCCACGGCGCTGGGAGGGGCCGCCATGCCCCCTCCCTCCTTGCTGCTCGACATCTCTAGCTTGTCCTTCTCTAAGTCGGCGTCCAGGTCAATGATCAGATTGCCAACACCGATATCCCACTCATCACCGCTGTCGTACGTGTCCACCGCGTTGGAGTCCACACCTTTCCCGCCTGCAGGGCCGCTGCTGAGGGACATCTTAGTAGGAGCGTCCCGGAGCGCCACAGGAGGGCTGCAGGAGGGCCACGCTCCTCCCAGCCGCAGGACGCCTCCTCAGGGCCGGACCCCACGCCTCCACCCGGCTCCCCGCATCGCCTCCTGCAGGAAGGACAGGTGAGACAAACCAGAAAAGAGCAGGTTAGATTAGTTTAGCCCCGCCTCCTGAGACAGAGTTCAGAAGTTATTTTTAACTTGATGACTATGATCGAAGGCCAGGAAGAGAACAACTTTACATTTTGAGTTGCTCATCCCAGTTTTACTGTTCAGGCGGGGGAACAAAGGCACATGTTAGGAAGAAATTCAGTCGTAAACCAAACCGTCAGATGTCAAGTCTGTCTGCGGTTTCACAGCGATTTACACCAGCACAAAAAGCCTGAACCCGTCTGCACGCTCGCTGGTTGGTGGGAATCACGAGGTTGTGAAACAAAGGCCCTGAGTGACAGCGAGGACAACGCCCCGGCTTAGCAAGATCACACAATAAGGAGGTGCACCCGATTCACAACGAGGGAAAAAAGGTGCAAGAATTAAGCTTAATGGTTTGATCACTTTCAGAATATCCATGGAAGAGATGTAGCTGAAAACATGAACTAAAACGAAATGTTTTATTCAGGATCGGAGTCTCAGGTTCATCTTTGGTCCACAGAGCATCTCAGCACCACTGCAGGCTGCGACTTCCTGCTTGCTGTCAGTTCTGTTACTTCACAAAGACGACTACTCGTCAGGATAACGGTGCGCTGAGGGAGAACATGCACACCTCCTGCTCTAAAGCCTCCTTCAGGCCACTGATCACAGGACAGGAGCTCGTTGACCCCTGACCTTCTGACAATGCAAAGCAGCGGGAGCAGATGTGGGGAGGAGGCGGTGCAATGTTAACATCCTAAAGCCCCACCAACTCCACCCTGAGGCTAATTAAGGCGTATGTCTGATCAGTCCATATGTGGAGAGGAGGCGGGCTGAAGCGCTCACTGAAATGTCTGTGACGTGAACGCCCACGATACCGTACCGCTGCTGATTTATTCAAGTCCCAGCGCCGTTTACGAAAACAGGAAGTCGTTCCCGCAGGAGGAAGGAGGGCGGCACACTGCAGACGACCCAGGAAAATAAGTCCAGCAGAGCGGACTGTTTCCCTGGTACTCCTGAAGCCTGTTGATTAATACTCATCCTGTCCAATTACACCATTGTTCAAGAAACAAACTGTACAAACAGCTTCACAGCTGTGGGTCTGCTCCGCCTTGTTTTTGCACCGCAGCCTGCGCACCGTCGCCCTGCGTGCAGCCTCGAAAGGTTAAAGATCGTTAAACAGCTTCTGCAGTGATCCTACAGGATGCTGCAGGGCGAGCAGTCTTTACAAAGGTTAATCTTATTATACAGTTATTGAGGAAAAATTTACAGCTGCAGGCAAAAAACTGTTAATGGGAACTCTTCTGTTTTTAAATCAGTGTGTTCCGAACTTACAGATCATTTAAATTAATAATTTAAAGAAAACCACATTTGAACATTCAAAACGTGCAGATGATTCTTGAGATGAAGCGTCCAATTATTAAAGCCCCTCCTCACCACCAGCCTCCACACAGACGCAAAGAGGTGAACTCCAGAGTGTTTAAGCAGCTTCTGCTTAAATCGTGCAGCATCATGAAGAGGAACGAGACGAGCTCCACCTTGCTTCTCTCAGGTGAGCTTCACCTGAGGATGCTCTGAGTTTAACTGCATGTCTCACCTGTTGCTCACAGGTGTTTTTACCTGCACACTAAATTGTCCAAATGCAGTTCGTTTCAGAGCCGCATGAGATTCAGTCCTGACTCTGTGACGCGTGTTTCATTATTCTTAATAATTATTTGTAAAAAGGCCCAACAGTAGATTTTCCATGAAGGCATTAAAATGTTATTTATTCTAATAATAATAATAATAATAATACCACCACATACTATGAACATCACAGTATCTCCTGATAAACACTGTGATAAAACCTTCCTTTTGCAGGCACAGTGACTGCTACCTGCATTCAGGAAATCTCGTCTTATTATCGCCACACCTGCCCCCACCTGCAAGAGCACAACAGAGAAACATCCACCCTTCAAAGCAGCGTTTCCACCCACCAAACACCAAAACAAACACGTCGTTGTGAAATTCATCCAGATTAAGGCCTGACTGGGATTTCCACAAGTTCACAAAGATCTGATTCAAAACTCATCCACGAGGATAAGAACCCAACAAAAACCAGAGTGATGGATGTGTCTGAGGTTTTTGTGGACGGCCGTACAGAACGGAGCTCACATTTAGTTCAAAATCTAACCGCAGCATTTAGAGAAACTCCTGGGATTCATACTTCTGTGACTCTACTGTACACACTGGTTAACCTTTAACCCGTCTGGCAGCAGTGCTACGAAGCACACTAACCGAGGAGACGAGGAGGCAGATGGACAGACAGGAGCTGTAGACATAATCCTGCTGCTAATGATTCAACTGCTCTGAGAAAACACACCAGCAACACCGAGCCGAACACACCATGACTGAGGCCGGTGCCAAACTCCAAAAGCTGAGCCATCAGACGCTCCTCCATCCATGACTCAGTTCAAACCTTTACCAAGTGATTATTTTGCAAATGTCACATATTACTATAAAACAGAAACAGAGTGTCAGTTGGACAAACATTCAGCCATCGATTACCCCGTCACTTAACTGGAAGAGAAATGCTTTTGTCTTATTAATAAACAATAATAAACACCCAAAACCACGTTTTATCTGTCAGAACAACTACTAAACCTTTGGATGTATTTATGCACCATATTAAAAACATTTTCTTAAATGCAAAAATATATAAATAATGTCAAGTAGAGTCAAAGGTCAAATAAAATAAAACAAATATGCAGTCAAAACTACGGCATAAAAACGGACCTGTACCGTCTTCTTGGCAGGCTTTCTGACGTTAGCGAAGTTTTCATGCTGCTGTTACAGCAGCCGGGCACCCCACGCCCCCCTTTAGACTCACCCCTGTTTGCCTCTCTGTAAAATAGCAGCCTGCCGTCAGCCTTCATCAAGCTTAAACTTACAAGCTTTCACGTTTCCACAGTAAAGGTTTTAATGGTGATCACAGCCACCGCGCTGCTGTTTTCTTTCACTCAGCCTCAACGCAGCGTGACAGTACGTGGTGTGTAAACAGTCTCCGCCCCCACGTTAAACTGTGCCAGCGCCATCGTCCCTGCTGCTGTTGTGTTCTCAGTGTTTCATAAAAACGTTTCTACTGCAGGTCTGCTTTTAGCAGATGTGGGAGAAACGCTCGTTTTAATAAAACGGCTTAAACACAAAGAGAATTTTTTATAATCAAATAATTGGAATTACTCGATGAATCGTTGATGAATCACACTCACTTGGATTGCACAGGTCGCCTGATAGACGGGAACCATCTGCAGACAGACGGTCAGCGTGCGGACACGAGGCTCTGTCACCGAGCACAACTCAAGGCGACTCGGCTCGGCAGCTGGTTGTATCCCGGTTGTATTCCTGGAGAACAGGAAGAGTTAAATGTGACTTCCTGTGCATGTAGACAACAAGAGACATGTGATGTTCACTGATTCAGCAGTTAACTGCTGTAGTATCACAAACGTGGCCTCTTCCAATCGCTGACTGACGACAAAAAACCAAAACCACCGAGATAAACTTCTGTTATGGAATAAAACAGATGCTAACCATGTTTAGCTTTGAGGACGTAACTTGATGTTGGAAAAAAGTGATAAATCTCAACATATGTTAATGCAACATTCACCATTCTAACATTTTACATTATGTTAACAATGTCACATCGTGACTGAAGTACTGCGATAACATCGTGGGGATGTGGGATGACTCCCACCTCGACAAGTGGTTCAGCGAGTTTGTGTAAGGAGAGCAAATGAAAACACACTGCAGCAAACAGAAGCATGGCTCAAAAGCAGAATATAATGAAATATATTTTACACGTGATGACCTGTGGATAAATAAATATCTGACCTCTGGGGTTTGTCCTTGATGCTCACTGGGCTGTCATTCTCAGCTCATTGTTACTTAACTACCCTCTCATTTCTGACGTGTTCTCTCGTTTGTTTGAGTGTAAAACTGATTAATAAAGCTAGGAAAGCCCTGCTTTGGAGGCCTATCGGGGGTCCTGGCTGGGCGTGGGGCTCTCTGGAGGCCTGGGAATGGCGAGGAATCACCCAGGAGTAACTGAAAGACGTTTCTGGAGACAGAAAGGTTCCTGTCAGATCTACAGAGACCCTGAAACGGCTAAACTATCTGTTATCCTGCTACGGCTGATTGTTTTTTTTGTTTTCATCAGTAAAAACAATCAAACTACACATTAAAAAGCTGTGACGTTACCCACGCTGCACCTCCAAAGGCAGCAAACACCATTTTTCGCACAGACTCCTAATCTGCCTGTGCAAAAATGACTGAGTGGATTAGCTGCTGGCATTCATACCGCGGGGCTCCTCTCAGATCAGACTTTCTGCTCAACTGCCTCCAATGCCACACTTAATTAAAGGCGGCCAGGTGGCGAGACCTCCAGCAGCTGGAGAGAAAGAGGAGCCTGTTTCTGTGAAAATCCACCCTGAGAAGCTCTGGCTCCGGCACAGAGCTCCGCCAGCCGGGCTTTTCCCCAGCAGCAGGACAGAATCAAACCCGCCGTTCTGACGGAAACTTGGCCCGGGCGTCGCTCTCTACGCTACACGTCCCACACAGGCTGAATCCACGCCGCGGTGATTAACAGGCTGCCGGGCATCCTCTGTGAAGCACTGCGGGAGTAGGAAGACGAGGCTGGGAAAGCTAGCGTTGCCCCCACATCGGCCGGCATACTTTGCATCTATCTGTGATTTAAAGGTAAAACTAGGGCTGGGCGATATGGCCTAAAATCCATATCGTGATATAATTTGAAGCATAAGTGGTAACGATATATATCACGATATATTCTTTTCTTCTGTATAACGTATTTTCCACACTATAAGGCTTAAAATCCTCTAATTTTCTCAAAAATTGAAACTCTAACCGATTTGGGCAGAAATCTGTTAAAATGTTTTAGTACAGCTTTGGTAAGCTGCACTGCTTGATGGATTGTCAGAGCATTACGGCTGCCGTAGTGAGGAGCTTCGCGGAGTAATCTGGGTCCAAAACGCCGTCCTATTCAGGTCCCAAAGTCAAACGAATACTGAGAGTTAAAAACGGTCTAAATTCTTCCATCTTTAATAAAATGATCAGCGTTGCTGCTTTATCAGGTGTAACTATGAAGTTTAACATCCAGGCATCCATGAAAACAGAATTTATTACACTTAACGAGTTAGAAGTTAGCAGGAAGTTAGCAGAAGTTAGCTCGCTAGTTTTGCTAGTTACCTAAGCATGATGTAGCATGTTCTGACTGAGAGATTTCTGAAAACATTCAAACGTACAGCTCTGCTATCACTTCCAACATGAATGAAGACAGAAAACTAAACAGCAGATATATCTGACTGCTTTGTTTTGCTTAATGTGTCTTATATTCCCGTGCACCTTATGGTCCAAAAAATACGTATTTGACTTTTTTATTTGGCACACTGCAGTTTAATGTTGCAAAGCACCTCTTTTTAACTTCAGTGGATATTATACATGGTTATGCTCAGGATATGTCAGCCCATTTCTACTGGAAATGTTTTTTGGTTAAACTTTCAGCAAGGAATTTGCATTTTCACTGTTACATTTTTATAAAGCTTTAATGTACATAAAAACCAGCTTCTTGTTTAAGTGAAAATAAATGGAAGGTTTTTTCTTTTGTGCTAGTGAAGTTGTGGAGTTGTATGCTGTCTCGCATCAATTATATCGTCAGTTATATCGTTATCAAAAATGTTCAAATATATATCGTGACAAATATTTTTGGCCATATCGCCCTGCTCTAGTCTCCACTGAAGACATACTGAACAGAGGTGAGCATGGACATTCACACTCCAGGTGTAGGGATGGGTAGGTTCTGATATAAACGGTAGTAACCAGACCGAAAAGCAGCGCACATTTCGGTGCTTTATTTTGGTGCTTTTTTCCCCGAGATGTCACACACTTTGGATTCTAGCCAATCATTTTACATTTCCAAGCGTAGTAGGCGGGCCCAGGTACGTACGTTCTTTTAGAGCAGAGCTACAGATTAAAAATGCCCAAGGCGAAGCGGTCAAAGTCTGGCTGTACTTCACAGCAAAAGATGCAAACTCAGCAGCAACAAGTGCTTTAAGCTGATACTGTGCAAAGGCCGAGAAATGCGCCGTATGATAGCTTGCTGCGAGACCTCACACCGAGCACATCTACTGCGGGTGTGGTGCCTGTTATCGGACCCGGAGTTAGCAACATCCCCCAAGAACCCGAAGAGTAGAGTCCTGGCCCCTAGCCCTGCCAGTGTAGCAGAAATGATGAGGATGATGAAGCAGCAGCAGCCGTTCTTCTCTGCGTGAGTAGCTTAATGTTGTTCATGTGTAATTTACGTTGAGTAGGCTAACCACGTTATTACATTAATGCAGGTAAGGTGAACTAGCAAACATCATCATAGCTACATGCTGCTGTCTTCTTGTTTGATAGCGTGATACCATATATGCCCTATCCGATTGTTCAGTCTGACGTCACTAGCCGTGTCTGGGTCTAAACTCCGCTGCAGGTCCATATATCAAACGATCACTATGGCATTACTGAGAGTTGAAAAACTGTCTAAAGTCTTTCATCTTTAATAAAATGATCAGCGTTCTGCTCTACCAGGTGTAACAATTGAGTTTAACATCCAGGCATCCATGAAAATGGAATTTATGACATTTAACGGAGTTAGAAGTTAGCAGGGAGTTAGCTCGCTAGCTTCTATCTAAATACAATATAGCATGTCCTGACTGCGGGGTTTTGGAAACAAATTAAAACGTACAGCTCTGTTATCACTTCCAACATAAATGAAGACAGAAAACTAAACAGCAGTGACGTTTGTAGGGTTACTGAAGTTGGGCTAGCTGCTATATAATGATGTGCTACGTGACCGCTAGTGACACAGCTATGTTAGCATAATATGAACAAGCTAACTTTTTTTCCACTGGATAAAAGTTACCGTGAGTGTTCTCGGTGGTCAGGAACAAATGTAATCGCATGGCAGGGTGCTGTAAAAGGACCAAACTTCAGCCAGGAGAACAACTGAGATAATCCATCCACAATACGAGGTTAGTCATTCATATACTGCTGCATGGGCTGGGCTGTAGTTACATCCTAAGGTTTTAAAAACTGAGCTTAAATAAATGATTAGCGGTAATAAAAGCCGAGGGAGGTCAACAGGGATCACTGACTGTTTTAGGAGCTTTTTGAGATCAAATAGAAGAAAATACAAAACATTAAACATGTTAACAACACAAAAGCCATATTAAACGCAGACTACTTTAGACCCGGAAGTAGGATTCGTCGTGTCATCCCTGAACAACCGGATAGCTGCAGAAAAGGCCATCATTGTTATCTTTTTACAAACAGCTAAACATGAGAGGTTTTAGGACAAAGTTTGTGTTTTCCATTGTTTAAGCATCGGTTCCAACCAAAGGAGGTATGTTGTATCAACAGAAAAGGCTAACTAGGTTACCATTTTTGCAGAAAAAAAAAAAAAAGAGACTGCTAAAAATAAAAACATAAGAGATTTTTGGACACAGTTGATGTTCTCCATTCTTTAAGCACCGGTTCGAGCACCGTTTAAGCACCGGCACCGTTTCAAAAGTACCGGTTTGGCACCGGTACCGGATAAAACCTAAACGATACCCATCCCTATCCAAGTGTCCTAACAAGACACTTTCACAAGCACACAAAAAGCTGAACAGTGTGCTTTATTGTGTGAACTCATTATTGTGCAAAGTAAAACTGACTTAGTGATCATTCATATGTGTTCAGACTGACGGGGATTCAGCTCATAAATCATGACCCGGTGCTCTGCCAACAGCTGCCTTTATAAGATAGTTACTGGTATCAGTAACTCTGCCTCTGCATTCACATGCTGTCGCATCAATGCTGCACCACACAGCACCAAGTTTGACCGTCCAGTAAGAGAAAACGACAAAATCTGTCACTGACGTAAAACATTTTTTAATTAAGGTTTCATTTATTCAAGCCAAGTTACATTTGGCTTATAAAAATAAAATAAATGCACGTTTTGACCCCAAAAACAAAGACAAGCCAACTCTGATCGGTACTGATATCAGCACCCATGAGGACATCGGTCACAACATATTCAACATTAATCCCGATACTCAGTTTAGTCCAGATATTTTCCACTTTACGAGCTTTAAATGTTCTTATAGAACCCTCCTTGCACAATTATTAATGATTACACGGCCATTAAAGCAGGATTCAGGCGTCATTTATCTACAAGTGCTTCAGCTGTTTATTATCCTCTCCTCTGCATTTAAGAAACAAAAATGTCTGGCAGCAGTGTTGCCAACTCCTCAGTAAGGAAAATCGCTATTGGCGGTTCTAAAAGTCGCCGCCAAATGACGTCATCGCCT